TCATAAGGAAGGTCAAGGTAAAAAAAATAAAACAAACACAGATAAAAAGAGTTCAACAATTTATTTTATTGTGCTAATATCTATTTTCTATTGTAAAAGTGCCATAATATAACTCCACATAATCCCGTCCGCTCTTCTTACCTCCCCCCCCCCCATTTCGACCCCTACCCCTACATTGCAATAATAAATTGCTAACAAATCTATTTCAGTGTGTTATTTTCACTTTAATTAAGTTTGTGATACTTTAAAAAAAAAATTAAAAAAAACTAAGAAAAGCGGGTAGAAAAGTCAAGATTAAAGTTGGAAAAGCCAAGATTAAAGTTGGAATTACCAACTTTAAAGTTGGAAAAGCCAAGATTAAAGTTGGAATTTCCAACTTTAAAGTTGGAAAAGCCAAGTTTTAAGTTGGAATTTCCAAGATTAAAGTTGGAATTACCAACTTTAATATTGGAAAAGCCAAGATTAAAGTTGGAAAAACCAACTTTAAAGTTGGAAAAGCCAAGATTAAAGTTTGAATTTTCAACATTAAAGTTGGAATTACCAACTTTAAAGTTGGAAAAGCCATGATTAAAGTTGGAATTTCCAACATTAAAGTTGGAATTACCAACTTTAAAGTTGGAAAAGCCAAGATTAAAGTTGGAATTACCAACTTTAAAGTTGGAATTACCAACTTTAAAGTTGGAAAAGCCAAGATTAAAGTTGGAATTACCAACATTAAAGTTAGAATTACCAACTTTAAAGTTGGAAAAGCCAAGATTAAAGTTGGAATTACCAACTTTAAAGTTGGAATTACCAACTTTAAAGTTGGAAAAGCCAAGATTAAAGTTGGAATTACCAACTTTAAAGTTGGAATTACCAACTTTAAAGTTGGAAAAGCCAAGATTAAAGTTGGAATTTCCAACATTAAAGTTGGAATTACCAACTTTAAAGTTGGAATTACCAACTTTAAAGTTGGAAAAGCCAAGATTAAAGTTGGAATTACCAACTTTAAAGTTGGAAAAGCCAAGATTAAAGTTGGAATTTCCAACATTAAAGTTGGAATTACCAATTTTAAAGTTGGAAAAGCCAAGATTAAAGTTGGAATTACCAACTTTAAAGTTGGAAAAGCCAAGATTAAAGTTGGAATTACCAACTTTAAAGTTGGAAAAGCCAAGATTAAAGTTGGAATTACCAACTTTAAAAAAAATATTGTGTGGCACTAATACGCTTCCGTATATAAAGAAATTCGGTTGTAAAAACAAAATAAAAACCCTCCCTTTACAAAATAGGATTTTCAGGTTCGGAGATTTATTTTCCTTTCTTTTTCAAAAACTTTCTGGTAATGTATACAAGTACTTTTTCCCCAGATTGATCAACGTCCCACTTTCAAATACCATACTCCACCCTGTATCGATATTCTATTGAGTTATTTAACTATATGTATGTGTACAACGTACGTTTTAACTGTTTTCGCCTTCAACCCCCGCTTTTGAAAAATACTTCAACCCCCCCCCCCCTTTGAAAAATTTCTGGATCTGCGCCTGCAGTGTGAATCGACATTTAAAGTTAAAACAAAAAAAATGCATTTAATACCAGAGGGGGTACAACGTAAGCAGACTGGAGTGGCATATCTTTCTCTTATAATGTATAGTGGGTATTTGGGGGTTATGTTGAGCGATTATTCTGGGGATTTTACATTTTTTTGTTATTGTATACATGATGAATAAGTTAAATAAATATATCTTATGAAAAAAAATTTCCAATAAGCCCTTGGGTTGAAGATAAAGAGAGTGTGCGGGGGGGGGGGGGGGGTCCCACCCACAAGTACCTGTAGTTTTCCTAACAGAAGAAATTCATAAAAATGACGCTTAGTAGACAATTCAAAAATGTATATACTCCTGATATATGAAATCTATTTAATATTTAAGAATCTATAATATAAATTAAAATATTTTTTGCTGATCAAAATTCCATTAATTATTTAAACTTCCTTCTAATATATATAACACTTTTTCTTGCATTGTAATTTAATCAAATGAACCATTTGATATAATTATATTGAACTATTTCTTGATAGTAAAAACATAATAAAGGGAAGTAATCAAATGTTGAACCCGCTTTTGATTGGTTCGTTTGGATCTTGAATCTCGAAACTCGAATTTTGAATTTCGAATTTTGAATCTCGAATTTCGAATCTCGTATTTGGAAACTCGAATCTCGAATGAGCCTTCTGGGCTTTCGTAGTATTTGACTTAATGATAAATTGCATTTGCTGACAAGGTCATTGTATCTACTATAGAACTTATGAAATGATTACGAAAGCCCAGAAGGCTCATTCGAGATTCAAGTTTCGAAATACGAGATTCAAAATTCGAGATTCGAAATTCGAGTTTCGAGATTCAAGATCCAGATTAACCAATCAAAAGGCTCATTCGAGATTCGAGTTTCGAAATTCGAGATTCGAAATTCGAGTTTCGAGATTCAAAATCCAGATTAACTAATCAAATACGGGTTCAACATTTGATTACTTCCCTTTATTATGTTTTATCTATCAATAAATCGTTTAATATATTTATAACAAATGAGTCATTTGATTAAATTACAATACAAGAAAGAGTGTTATATATATTAGAAGGAAAGTTAAATAATCATTTGATTTTTGATCAGCAAGATATACTTCAATTTATATTATGACTTCTTAAATATTAAATAGAATACATATATCAGGAATATATATATATTTGCATTGTCTACTATATATAAAGGGTTGCTGACATAATAATACAGTTATAAATAGTGTCTAAAGATTAACAAAATCCCCACCCGTACCGGCAACACCTGCCAATTTTTCCCGACACTGAAAATGTTACTTTAAAACTTTGAAAGGCAATGTACCCTTGATAAATAAAAACCGCGCTCGTTTTCCTAATAGAGGGAATACATTAAAATAAAGTTTTCAATTACTTATGTTCATCTAAGGCTTTGATTTCTTGAACTAATTAACAATTATATATACAATACAGATTGCAAATATGAATTAGAATAAATGCAGCATTCATTTTATCTGATATCAAACAGTAGATTAGTCTAAATTAGCTGCAGAACTATAGCGTTATGGTTTTATACTTTAGTCTCTGACCATAGCGTTATGGTCAAAGACTAAAATATACTCGGTTTTTAATTATCAAGGCTACAAGGATTTTGTTAATCTTTAGTCACTATTTATAACTTTATTATTATGTCAACAATCCTTTATATATAGTAGACAATGCAAAAATATATACATGTATATTCCTGATTATGTATTCTATTTAATATTTAAGAAGTCAAAATATAAATTGAAGTATATCTTGCTGATCAAAAATCAAATGATTATCTAACTTTCTTTCTAATATATATAACACTCATTCTTGCATTGTAATTTATTCAAATGACTCATTTGTTATAAATATATTAAACGATTTATTGATAGATTAAACATAATAAAGGGGAGTAATCAATGTTGAACCGCATTTGATTGGTTAATCTGGATTTTGAATCTCGAAACTCGAATTTCGAAACTCGAATCTCGAATGGGCCTTTTGATTGGTTAATCTGGATCTTGAATCTCGAAACTCGAATTTCGAATCTCGAATTTTGAATCTCGAATGAGCCTTCTGGGCTTTCGTAAATGATGACTTTTAACGAGACTGCTGATATTCTTTTTTTTATCAACTTGCTTGTCAATAATTTACCTCGTTTTCGGAATTGCTCAAAGGTAGAGTATGCTCTTGTGTATCGAATCAACTGAGATATGTATACTCCGTTTGCAGGTGATGACGGTTTTTGTGTTTTGTGGTTTTTTCAATCACTTGCTGAATGTAAACAAGTTGGAATTAGTCCAACAAGCAACGTTTAAAGTTTAGATGATACAATATCTTTTTTTGGTAAACACTTGTTAAATAATTGAAAAAAAATAAATTTCCTTAATTGTTTTTACTACACTCTAATGAGCTTATCTGAATATGCTTTTCTTAGTCGGTGGCTCACCCGAGCTTTTCTGAGCAAAATGTGTCTGTTGTCTGTCTTTGTCGTCGTTTCTAATGGCATCTTCCTATCAAGAATAAACCAAACATGGGACAGATGAAGTATGTGGGGATAACGAATAGTATTCTAGCTCAAAAGTCCATTAAACATTTCAAAATAGGAGCAGAGCAAATTTAAAAAATCTAGATATCAGAGGGTTGGATCAAGTGCCATGGAGGAGTGATCATACCCTGCAGAGCGGTCACACCCTCCGCGTGCTCCTTGTCGTGATCGGGAATTCACGTAACAAATCTGTGGGCATTTCAGTGTGTAACAAATGGCCGAACAATCAATGTAAAAAAAGTCAGTCATCATTTTAGTTATTGATAAATTGCATTTGCTGACAAGGTCATTGTACATGTATAGACCATATGTAGGACTTACGAAATTATGACTATCTGGTAATATTCTTGCTTTATCATCTTGTCTGTCAATAAATTACCTCGCTGTAGAAATAGTTCATATGCTGAACATGCTTTTCCATATGGAATCAATTGATAAACATGCATAAAAAACTGTATTCACGTGAAAAATGTACATTATACAAAGTATACTAAAAGTATTAACATTTTATCTCCGGTAGGTAGGGCGGAGCTTAAATTGACAATCAAAGCTTTGATATCTTTTTTTAAAAAAACGTTCTCAAGAAAAACAAGCTTATGGAAAATCATATTTATGTGGAAGCATCCGCACAAAATGTTGAAATCACGATCCCTAACAGTAGGTTTGCGGTTACAAATGCAAAATCATTTCATAATGATATCTCCTAGTACCTATTATTAGGCTTAATTTTCAACCTTCCAATCATTTTTGCTTGTCAAGGATTTTTAGTCCACTGTGCTCCTCATAACCTGGAGCAGGGCGGGCCGAAAACCATAGGCTAGTGAGGATGCCTTCCAATGGCAAGTGGGAGATTTTTGACATTTGTTTGCAACTGATTCATTTTTTTTAAATAGCATTGTGTAACCCTGCATGTTTAAATGGCGGTGTTTGTACCTCTTCACATACATGTAATTGTTCGGATACCCAGTATACAGGGGCACGGTGTGAGATACGTAAGTAGCCTTCACTTACTGAAATAACAGTATTTTCTCCAGAAAAAAAAATCAACAACCCTTCCAAATATTTAACACAGAGTTTTTGATAAATTTAACATTTGGTTTATAAAGCGTTTCACATTTGTACAGACTTTTTTTCTGCTAAGGTGTACTTCATTTGAATATTCAAACAACATGAACGACATATATAAAAAGTGACTTTGCTTGAAAACATAAGTTTGCCAGTAGAGACCTTTTTATCAATCGATTTTCTGTTAATAAAGATCTGCATTTTCGAAAGTCTGAACTACAAAACAATATGTATACATGCGCATAAAATTATTCCTATGGTTCCATAACTGAATAGATAAAACTTAATTTGAGAGCAATAAATCTGAAATGCGGATAGCTTAATAAGCTTGGAAAGTTTACATGTGTTCAGAACTAGTTTCATTTTTTCAAATTCATTTCAGCTGTTTGCAATCCTGCGTGCAGAAACGGCGGAAGTTGTGTTGCTCCAAACAAATGTGTTTGTACAGAACAACATACAGGGACGACCTGCAATATTCGTAATGTACCTTAGTGAACTACAAACTCTCAAATAATGAAATTTGACGCTCTTTTCTTTCATCGAAATTAACCAAAATATCATTAAAAAAATTGTATTTTATTTTTTCCTTGATATAACTGATATAATATGTATTTTTTTTATCTTAAAAATAATTACCATTGCATTTAGCTGTGTGTAGTCCTGAATGTGCAAATGGTGGTGTTTGCACCCAACAACATGTCTGCAATTGTTCTGAGACACTATACACAGGAACTACGTGTGAAACACGTAAGGATCTGTTTCTTTTAATACGATTTATAATTAAACTTTGCTTCATTAATAAATACATGTAAATGCAATCGCTGGAATGTATTTCATGCATAGAATGAATATTTTTACCAAAACTATATAATCCATCTTCATTTCAAATGACATTTTTATATTATGTAGTTGTTGTATTATCATGCAGGACTGATTATTAAACATCTTATCTCTCATGATACAAAAACATACAAATAAACGGAATGATTTTTTAAAAAAAGAAGCTACAATCATCATCATTTATTTACATTTCTATACCCTTTGAATTTTGAAACTGAACTGAAAGCATTAATTTATAACTTTATGCAAACACAATGAAAGAAAGCGATTCTAAACCACCTCCCAAAAAGTTTGAATAAAAATTGATTATTTCCAGAGTTAACTTATAATCAAATTTTGAAATTTAGAATTTTTTTTAGAGACAAACATTGGGACCTTTTTCTTCATTCAAAAGTATGATAATGATTCGTATTTTATGCCAGTTTGTTAAGTTCAAAAGTATTTTTTGATGCTTACTCTTCCATGGCACCTGATCAAAACTCTATTATTTTGAAGGTCCTTGTTTGCTCTGCTCCTATTTGGCATTGTTTCATAGTCTTTTGAGTTAGAATTCTGTTCGTTATCTCCATATATTTTATTTGCATACTTCAGAATACAATAATGTATCATGAAATTCTGAATCATTTTATTCTTTGATATTTAAAGTTGTTAGATAATAAGATTTTTTTTATTTTAGCTGTGTGTGATCCAGCTTGTCGAAATGGTGGAGCCTGCGTTTCACCTAACAGATGTTACTGTACAGAGACGTATACTGGAGCGAGTTGTGAAATCCGTTAGTACATTTTTCGAAATGTTGATATATTATTGCAGAATTTACTATTCCATGTCTTAGTGTGCTTCATAACTTATCAAACATTTGAATAAAAAATTTGAACAAAAATTTCACTTCAATTTAGAATAAAATAGCAACGAAGATTAGAAAAATATAAAATAATAATTTTCCAAAGAAATGATTTTTTCTGTTTATAATAATAGTATATTTAGGCAAAAATTGAACTTCCTCATTCAATTACAGGTACATATATTGAAAAAACTTGAATTAAAAGAATTTTTTGTTAAACTTTTGCTTCCCTTAAAGCAATGTGTGCCCATCATCATCCCTGCTTTCCGGGAGAATGCAACAATATGATTCACTGCAGATGTACATATGGGTTTTCAGGAGAAGGAGGGCTTGAAAGATGTAAAACATGTATGTAACACTCAACCTAAAAAGTAATTGACAAAACATTAATACATATTTGTGATATTTCAGGTCCATGTTTGCTACTGATAAGGTTTTAACTGTCTTTTGTTGACTCAATAAGGGGGGGGGGGGCAGGTGTTAAAACAAATGATGTCTGTGCAGAACAATTATGGATGACGTATATTTGTGATATAAATTAAGCAAACAGATCAAAACACCCTTTAAATACTACGCAAAAATTATCAAGTCAGTAAAACATCTCAAAATGAAAAAAAAAACCTATTCTTTTGTAAAATCATTTATCGTTCTAATACCAACGTTCATCAGCTGATCTGATGCAAGATATCTTTGATTGATTGATTGTATATTGTTTAACGTCCCTCTCGAGAATTTTTCACTCATGTGGAGACGTCACCGTATGCCGGTGAAGGGCTTCAAATTTTACCTTTACTCGGCACTTAGGGCCATTGAGCAGTGAGGGATCTTTATCGTGCCAACGCCTGCCGCTGACACAGGGCCTCGGTTTTTAAGGTCTCATGCGAAGGACCCGCAACTTTCACTTCAAAGTGCCGAGCGCATGGCGAAGGAACAGTTGCTACCCATTTTAACGACTAGGTCAGTCGCGGCCGAGATACGAACTCACGACCTCCCGATCACGAAGCGAGCGCTCTACCGACTGAGCTACCGTGAACGGTAAGATATCTTTGAAGAAACAAAAGTAAATTATTATACACTTAGAGTATATCATGAGTCAGCAAGATTACAGTTTTCCAAGAGCAAGTCTATTACCCGAGACGCTTGCGCCGAGTGAGATAGGCTTGCTCTTGGAAAACTGGAATCTTGCTGACTCCCTCAATTTAATGAGTATATCTAAGTGTCTTTAACTGTTTTAATACACCGATATAAACAAGACATTTGAAAAAGTTATATTCAATTTTGTAACAAGCTCGCCATTTCTGTTGTCGTTTGCTACAAGTAAACTCGTTCTTTTTTATTGATATGGGACCAGTTGAATCACGATGCATTTCGATTCATTAATGAAAATTCATGAGTTTATTCGGAACATTTCTAAGTTTGACCTTTAAAGACAATGCTAAATGTTCCGAATAGGTGTGTATCAGTTCATAAAAAACGAGCTTTTTTGCAGTATATCGGTTTATTCACGGTGATATTCAGGAAATCAGCAAAATATATCGATATGCTTTTATATAGTGAAAAATCAGTAGAGGTATAATAATCTATATTTTCACTCAAAATTACCAGCATTTCTGTAATTTGGGGTGCTTTAAAGATATTTTTTCAGATGGAAGAAAAACCTATAACTTACTGCTACAAATGAATTGATATAATTAAAAATCTGAAGCTTACTCTTGTGATTTTGTCAGACTTTAAACTTCATCTCTTTAGTTCAGTACTACTTTGAAATTTTGAAATATTTCATCATGGAACGAACTATCTTAACACCCTTATATTTCTTAGAGCAATTTATACACGAAATTATTACAAAATAACTTCTGGAAAAAGTGCCTTCTGTAAAAAACTTCTGCATATTTGTGTAAATATGAATACTTTAATGGTAAGAGCTCGAACTTAAATTTTAATGTCTCTTTACAGTTGATGCGAATAACATTCCAGTCATTACCAAGTGTATGTCAGTTCTAAGCAATATTGAAAGAACCGGGAAGAAAAGAGAGCTCTACAAATATATAACAGACTCTTCCGAGCCAAATTCTACAAAAGTAGACATGCTTTGGTTAAACCAAAAAGACTATAACTATATTAACGCTGATTTCACAGCGATGTATGTCCCACCGGACGGTATTGCACCTCCGATATACGTCACGGATTTTGCATTCGGCATTGTTGGGGCATATTTGAGAATAGATTTGTATAAAGTCCATAGAAGTAAGAATAATTTTTTGAAAATTGAGGTTTTCTAATTGATGAGGTGTTTTAATTTGAAGTTTGATATCTCTTGCGTTTTGTAGATTCCTCCGACAAAGCGTTTGTCAGTTTGAATAGCACAACATACCCCTGTCCAAACCAGCCTGGTTCGAACAATCCGAACGAGGCTGTGTATTCATGCAATGTCACACATCATGATTTCGATCGTCTTTTGGAAAACGGCGATAAGTAATATTATCTTGAGCACTATTTAATAATATTCTTTTCCTTATCAAGACAGCTAATTAATTCCTTATTAGGTTTCATTTTGGCGAGAAAGAAAAATAATCAAGACTTGTTCTTTGTGCATTTCCAAGATATTTACTTTAATTGATTATTTATTTTTGGCAAAACGTTTGGAATGAAATATTTCTTCTTTAATTCATATCAAAATATGACAAGACCTAATACGAAGATATATTATAATATTTCATATGAAATTTGCATAAAGAAAAATGTCTTTTTTATCAATTATCTTTTAATAGTTTAACAGTGACCGTTATTGCACAAAATGGTGGATATCGTAAACTTAAAACTTCATCTACAACAAACTTCATCGACCATTTCAAAGGCCGAAATTCGAGCAAATCGATGATGTATAGATTCGACTTTCGAAATCCCCAGCACTGTGTTTTTGATACTCATCACAAATGTTCACTGAAAGCCTTCACAGTCAATAAAGATATCACAAGGGTAAAGACGCTTTAATATTTCAATATCTTAGAATTCTAATGAGGTAATCATGCATGTGTTTCAATTATGTCTTTTGAACTTTTGTTGTCATCACAGTTCCAAACGTTTTCTTTTTTCATCTGCCTATAAGCAAGCTCGGTACAAATCTCATACATTAATGAAAATATGTTTACGCTATTTTATTAAATGCACTGTTAGTTATATTAAAAAAAATAAAATAAATTAACTTGATCACGTTTTTATTTAAGGATCCTATTTACATTGAATGGGATGGATGGAGTGACGTTCTTTCCGGAATAGAAAAATACATCATCGAGATATATCTTTTAAAGCCAAATCAGAATGTAAATCCAATTTTATCTGAACCAGATCCATGGAGTCCAATGAACACATTAATATTCAACAGTACAGCGAGAGGATACAATTTTGTTTTTCTAATACCTGGAATGTATTCCTTGATACTGAACGTCGTCGATAAAGCTAATAACTCTGAATATGCACGGAAGCTGGTTTTGTACGACAACACTTCATCCATCTCTATAGATAATTCATCTCCGATGATTTCAACAAGTGCTGTTAAAGAGACGAATTACCAGTGGCAGAATAACTTGACCAATGATATATCAATTTCTTGGGAAGGACATTTTAGAAACAAATTCCATGAAAACAATAAACTTCTAAATCAGGTTACAGATTTCAAACATTTTGATCATGATAAAGGGATTCAAAAAATTGTTCATGATGTATTAGATGACAACGACGGAGAAAGAACACTAAACGCTATACCAAATGTTCATGGAATCGTTAAATTTGAATATGCGTATGGGAATGCAAATCAAGGAAACCAAACGCCAACAAATTGGCAGATTATAATCGATTTAAACCAGACAGTGTCTTTCTTTGTTCAAAGACAGAATGGAGATACCCTAAACGTATGGATCAGAGCTACTGATTCCGTGGGTAATTCAGACAGTGATATCATGCATGTTTACTTCGACGAAACACCTCCAACAGCCTTGACAAAACGCACTGTCGAATTCAAACCCAATTTGAATAATTCTGTGTTTTCCTTTTCAAGTCGGTAAGGGTAAAATTAAGTTGCTTTCGTGTAAATACTGTGATTTAAAAGATATTGAACTAAGCAAAAATAATATCACTGATTTTTTTCCCCTTTTTTTCCAAATTTACTGATACAATGAAGCGCATTGAAGTGGTAAAACTTTCTGTTTGGATGGAACGTTTTGAGCTATCTTTAGACACGCCCATTTCTTTAGAAAGGAAAATTCGGTCAAATGATTCAATCGAATACTTGTAGAACAGGTACCTCATAAATATAACAGCCAATGAAATTGACGGTCTACATAAACACCGAGTAAGCACGTGTTCGACCGATACATGTGTTATAGTAACTCCAATAAACATGTAAAATCATAATTATGTACAAATTCGTTGCAATGCGTGTTTTACATAAGCGGATCTCTGTATATAGCTCTTTCTTAAAAAAATCTTCATTTCAGCAGCTGTTCAGTGTAACTCATGTTGCTTGTTGTGGAAAGTGTATAGTATCCTAAAACATTACGACGAATATTCCTTTTTCGTTCCTAAAGAAATGGGCGTGTCGTTATGTTATAATTGATGTTCAAAACATGACTCAGAACGTTTCGTCTAAATGGAAAATTTTACCACTTCAATAACGCTTCATTGTATTTGCGTTAACCACATATATCCCAGCACTGCTTCACCCCTACTAATGTGTTCGGAACCTTTTAATTTTCGGTGTTCTGCAAATATATAAAACCCGATGAGTTCAGAGTAGCCCTGGCAGTGGCTCTGGCGAGAGTTAGCGAGACTAGAGCGATATAGGGTATTTATTCACGGAAATGTGGCTAGGAAATGACTAGCACGTGGAAACATGGTAAACGGAAAAGTTATGTTGCGTTTTAGTTTTCACCACCCTATAATATCATTCTGTAGAAATGTATTTCAATCGATCTCTCTTAATTGAATTCATTCAAATTTAAATTATAAGTATTCTCTATGATACAATTTTCTGCTTTCTTGAGTTAAAATTCCCTTTTGGACAAATATTTTTGCATTGGAACCGGGACAATATTTTTTGGCGTCAGATTAGCAAATGAGGCACCAATGTGTCTTTAACTGACAAATCAGATGAATGAGAATTGCATTATGGTCTACTACGAATACTACAGGAATTGTACGCTTAATAAGTTCCTTTGTTGTACTATCGGTGAATACATTTTTCAGGTGGATTCCCTGGCCAAAACACGTGATCACGAGTATGGTTAAAAAATGTTTTGTCCATTTAAATGCATACGAGAAGCTGCTCGTTTTCCTTACCCTTGAGGTTCTGGTGTTCTGAACGTGACACTAACTACGTATACATTTTATTAAACATAGTTATTTCTAGTTAACGACAAATTAAAAACGCCCGTGACATCTTTCATAGTTTCTAATCTTTGCATTTTGCTCTTAAGGGCATTTTTTTTATTTTGCACTCCATTGACATGATCATAGATTGACCTGAACCACGTGTTTGAAGTAAAATATAAGCATGTATTGGCGTAAACGTATTCAATTGGTCAATTGCTCGTGGATTGATCCTCTGTGCGCATTAATAACAAAGGCCACATAAGGCAAACAAAGGTTTGTCAGTGTAGATGATATTACACATTTTTTTTTACCAGCGTATCGGTCGCTAGTGAGCTCTATTTTCTACTGTAAATTATGAAAAAATATATTGTTATTTTACCCCCCCCCCCCTTTAAGCCATCCTTTTCTGTTGAAAATCATGAAAGTCTTTCAGAAAAGTCTGGAAACACATTTTTTCACAGGAAATGTTTTCAAAAGAAACAGACTAGCAATTTCCTGTTTATTGCCAATTTTATTTATAAAACCGGTTCTACCCTATAACATTTGAATAGATAAAGCTAAACCACGTTTCTTGAATTTAAATCACAATACCTATAGTAGGGGTGTGCTTATATCTTTGAAAATGCCAACCTTTTAAAACAGTTTTATCGTTAATGTAAAACACTTTGTTTTTGTAATGGCCCTTCAAACCACAAAAAGGAGTCTAAAAAACTGTTTTGTGATGTGTGTTTTCTGGTGTGTTTATTTAATTTTTTTTTATATGTTTTGTTTTACAGCTTACGGGTTGACGCTCACGACCGAGAAAGTGGTATTTTTAAAATTGATTGGGAATTTATATCAAATAAGAGTGGTATAATTTTCAAAGCCGGGTCAATGCCTGGTAATAAGACCGAGGTTAGTTTGGTTTTTATAGCATTTTGTTCTAAGTGGAAAACGCACTTTTTATGTGTTTTAAAAAATATTTTCGCTTTTATTAAGTTTAAAAAGTAATGAATATATCTATGTGTCTTCAAGCATACACTGTACATGTTACACACCATTTTACTATCTCCTACACACAGAGTTTGCCACATTTCGTCGATGGATACAAAGTTCCAATGGGGGATTTTTTCTTCTTCAGTCATTATCTTGATGTGAATAACTGCTGGATGATTGTTCCTAAAGACACTTTTAATAACGAATTTCTCAAACTGAAACTCGTAGTTTACAATAGAGCCATGGAATCAACAAGTTTTGAAACCACGGTAGTTTGATTACATATTACTTCTGTTTTTTTAATCGTATAATTAAAGTTTGCATTATTTTTAATATACAAGATTGGTTAAAATCTTAACGGTGAAAGGTGAAAAGCAAAGTATATACTCTTGAAATTCATTATTTGTAGTAACATCTTTGAATTTTTTTTATTCAGCTGATATATCTGAGGTATTTGCATGGAATTGATGAATGTAAGTGAATTGATATATGTATTTCTCTTCCTTCTTTTCAACACATTATACTGTTAATACAGTTATTTCATTCATTTCATCTATAGACTACTTTCGCATTTACAAATGTTATTCCCCTAGGCGGGGTCAATCCGGTGTCAACCGGCGTAAGATGCCGTTTTCCCTCAATAACCTTACCAACTTTATGGGTCAGTATCCTAGAAATAAAATCTTTATGAATATGCTCATTATGTTTTTCATGTTGCCCAATACTCTGGCAATACAGATACAGATCGAAATTGTCCTATAACGTTTGAAATTTAAAAATATTAACTGGTAACCTACAAAGGACAAAGTGGGAAAAATGAGCATAACGCCGACAACGGGAGATAAATCTTAGGAATGTGGAATTCGTCTATTAAATGAACAAATGTTCCATGTAAATTTTCCTCGCATTTTTATTCAACAGAATGAAATAGGATGATATATTTTTTAAAAACCTTACTTCATTTTATAGTCTGTATTTCTTCACATCTTACAATCTTCTAAATACATTTAATCAACGTCATCCGAATGTTACATAGAGAATAATACATATCCTTTTCCATATCACATCTTGTATCAGCCCGAGACACCAATATCAGCCAGAGGGCCGAAGGCCCGAGGGCTGATATTGGTCGAGGGCTGATACAGGATGTGATGTGGAAAAGGGTATGTTTTATTATATTTATTGCATGCTTAGTAATAAAATACAGTTGAGAAGAAAATAAGTAAATAATCATGCATGGACTTCTTACATACATGTACATAGTCTAATGTCTCATAAGATTTGGGTTTGTTTCTATTTCAATGCACTTGATCCGTAATTTGAAAATATTCTATAGTATTACATGTATTTGTAAATTAAGATTAACCTTATTTTCAAAAAGTTAAAATTAAGAGAATATGAACCCACCAAAAATTGTGTATGAGTACAAGTACTGTTATTGTGGTTTAATTTACTAAGGGTGTGATATTGACGTCACAATAGCCGTATCAGCCCTGCAGGGCTGATATGGATTTGCAAGGCTGATACGGATATCAGCCCCGCAAATCCATATCAGCCCTGCATGGTTGATACGGCTATTGTGACGTCAGCCATATCGCATATGCAAAAACCCTGTATTTATTACTAAGTGTGTACTAAAATTCTTTAAATTTTCTTTAAAAAAAACATCTTAAATAAACCAAGAAGCCAATGGACGATACCGGGGTATCACTCACATTAGCACATTAGCAAGGAAAAAGCAGAATCGGTTCAAGATTTAAAAAATGGTACATTAGGATGCTTTTATATTTTAGTCACTTACATGTATAATGGATTTGCTGTTTTTGAAAAGAGTTTTATCGATTTGATTTATCCTTTATACAATATTCCTTTGCATAAAGTTGATCCCCAGCTGTGCCTAACCCTACCCCGTGGTCATGTTTTCTCATTCTACATCACATAAGGATGCTTCCATATCAAAATAACCTTGAAAAGATATTTTTTTAAATGTTTCCACTGAATATTCCAATGATCGCCAATTAATGAGCAACCCTACCCCCTACCCAGAGGATGCTTTCATACATGTACAAATATGTCTGTTGTAATCAACATAATAACCTCCCACGAAGGTGAAGTCACAAATGAGGTAGGGGTGTCGACATTATTATTTAAATAATATAATTTCGGGAACTGAAAAAGCTACTCAAAAAGTAATAAAAATGAATTTACTAATGACTTACAGATTATTTTAATATATTTACATTCGCTGTGAGAATTGATTTGGAAACCATTTTCGTGTATACTCTCGTGTAGAAATATACACGGAGAAACGTGCGTAGCTACAACAACGTGAGTAAAAGTATAACGATATAGGGCAGCAAGAAATCCAAATATTGATTTTGGTGTTTCCAAACATGTAAAATGTAAAGTATGGAATGTTTTTAAGTTTAGTTGGAATTATTGGTGTGTGAATCACACAGGCTTGCGCGTAGGCATATTTTTCATGAAACGCTATCGTGCTTCATAAAATATGCATATCTGACAAGTCTGTGTGATTCACACACCAATAACTCACACAAAACTTAAAACATTCCTTAAATACAACGTATATACTCGGTAGGTAAGGAGACTAATGGTAGGGTTTGGGCCCTTTGGCCTATTGTTAAAAGTTTAACATTTTCCAAAGCTTTTGTTTTGTTTTAAATTTAAGATTCCGGGCCGAGCAATCTCTTTGTTGAGAAAAAGTACGACAACAGTGTGCGACTGAAGTGGACATTGACGTCAACTTGCTACGAAAGAACCAAAATCACTTTATCTGCTAAATCAGAGAATGGAGAAAAGTTTTCACGTATCATTGATGAGGATGCCGATCACTTTGACCTAACAGGACTCGAACCAGGAACAACTTACAATTTGTCTTTTATTACAGAATACGGAGAACAGAAAAGCAATCCAGTATTTTTAGTTTTCAGAACATCGTTAACAAAAACATCTGCTGCTCTGACTGCTGGTGGTATTGCAGGGATATCCATAGGTTTAAACAATTTCATAATTACTTATTTTTAAGTAACAATGTAAATAATGTACTGCAGTTTAATATACACGTATTCAAATAATAAAATAATTTCAAAGTTTGATATCATTCCTACAATGTACTACAGTTTATTATATATTAAAATAATTTCAAAGTTTGGTAGCATTCTCATCTCTTATTTTATCCCGTAATTTATGCTATAAATTTTAAGTGTAATGTTTTCCCAAAAACTTCAAAACAGAAATGTTTTAATAGTCTAAAGTTACTACTGGATTGCATAATTCTACTTTTGCTTTGAAGCAATGATTCTTATACCTGGGATTATAATTGGTGGTATGATCGCGTGGAAAAAATGGAAAAGTTGCTTTAGGTATAAAGAACAGACATATGAGAAGAAAATGGCTGATGAAGACTCATTATCTGTAAGATAATTATGTTATGTAATTCATCGCTGTCCTTTTCATTTAAACAATCTGCATTATTATGACTTTATCTGTTTTTGTGATAACATAGGTTCTTATTTATTTGAAAATTATATTTGCAAAGTAAAGTGTAAACTTTAGCAATAAAAGAACTTAAAGACAAGCATGCTCAATGGTTTGAAAAAATTGTAATATGTTTCAGAATCTACAAGTTTGATTTAATGTACTTTAAATGTATTTTAGGCAACTTCAGAGCCCCCTTCAGCAATTCAGAATGATGCATATAACGATGAGGTCGAAATAGACCCTTCTATAGACCTTTACGAAGATATGAATGAAAGTCAAGAAGATCATCAAATAAATTTCTGTACATTATTTAATTTGGAGACCCTATTGAAAACAGGAGATTTTGCTGTTATCTATAAATTCAAATATCCTTCTTCAGATGAATCACAAGGAGCTGATAAGTTCATAGCAAAAGTTCTTAAAAGTAAGATGGCTTTTTGAGTCAATCATGTAACATTTAAATTATTCTCATACCTTGAGTAATTTATGTATAAAGTAGACAGATATGCTACTGTGGTTAATTGTAATCGTTAAATCTAATGTATTATTCCTCTAAATCCCATAATAAATTATGATTAAAAACGTGAAAGAATGCATGAATATACGATTCTTTCTTGAAGAGCCTCATACAAGCAGAGAAGAAGAAATCATGACCAACAAGATTGATTTTTACCGAAAGATTGGAAAACATCAAAATATTTTAGGTTTTGTTGAATCTGTTTATGAGAACAAAGATCGTAAGTTTTTTTTCTTTCTTTTTAAACTCAAGCCAAACATTTCTTGATTTTTCTCAGAAAAAAAACCAAAAGGCGAATTTTAAGAAACAAAAGCTTGTTTTATGACATAAACGTAAAAAAATAAAAAAAAAACTTTTATATTTTTTGATTAATTTTCTTATGATACTCATAAACACGTGCCATTTTAATTGAATTGTTAATGAGAAGCCTTGTTTGAACAAATTAAAAATATTTTAACGAAATATTTTCTCTTTAATCTTTATATGTAATAAAAAAATGCAAATGGAACTTTCAATTATTTTTTTTCTGTGTATATAATCAGCATTGGAGCTTTCATGGTGGATAATCTCATTATGATTTATTTCAATAAAAAAGATACAAATAATTGCAAATTATTCAAGATATAGTAATCTGGTGATTTGAATATCAATGTTATTTTCGACTGGCTTCCTATTGTCGGATTTTTTCAATTGCCAGCTCTTCCCGGTCTCCACTCCAAAGTAGGATTCCCCAAAGGGAAATTTCTCACTACACCAATATTCCCATTTCTCCTTCCTATCTTTGACAATAATTTGTATTTTTTCGTGGGAATTTGAAAGTTTACTACACTGAAGATTGCCAATTCAGTATGAAATCTTAAAATATATACCAGGTTGTTGAAATCGTTGAGTGTGTATCCAAAATATAAACATAGAATGTAAATTTAATATCTCAAAGATGCACATCGGACCATCCCGGGTTTGTTTAGTATGACGTGAGCTTGACATCTTCGCTAGCCAAGGGTTTCTGATATGCTCCTCTCCTCATAAACCCTTAGCATACGGTGAAGTCAAAAGACGGGATTGTTTTCCGTCACGTGATCTCGAATCTTTCAAGTACGCACAGATTGCGTCATCGCCAGAAATAAAGACACGTGTTAAGAAAAATTAAATATAAGTTTTTTCAAGAATAATTAAGAAGCAATAATTGAGTTATGTTTATTCATGATTTATAGAACAAATCTGAAGGTTCAATATAGATTCTTAATAACATATTTAGAAGATATTGGATGACACCATGGTTATTCATAGAATTGAATGTTATCTTACGGATCGTTGTTTACTTGCGTTTTTTATTTCCGAGATTTAGGAGTTAAGATGTATCCCGAACGCAAATATCGTCATTTACAAAAAACAATTGCTGATTGGTCGATCTGGATGTACTGAAATCCAATCAGAACTCTGGAAAAAAATCCCAATTTCTATGAACACCGTAGGCCAAGGGTTTATGAGGAGAGTAGAGTATCAGAAACCCTTGGCTAGCGAAGATGTGAGCTTGAAGGCTGACTTACAATTCTAAAATCTTAACCTTAGCTAAAACTTTGGTATGCTTACTGCTTAGAATTTGAATGCATACTTATTGTGACAAGTCCAACAACATAACTTTTTATACACCCTGCTTGAAAAGCGGGAGGGTATATAGTAATCGGAATGTCCGTCCGTCTACTACGGTTTGGGGTACCCACCTTTTATCCGCAACTCTTCTTATACCACTGAATTTCTTACCGTTTGATATTAAAAGAATAAGAATAAGACGTACAGTTAGTGATCCTAAGTTTGTTTCATTGGGAATTTCAGATGTCGCTTCTTCCATAATAATAATGCTAAAAATTATAAAGCTGTATTAATCCAGAATGACATACTTTAGCAACAATGCTAGTTTTCAATATGATTCTGCAATATATCGGTAACATACATACATACAGATATTAGTAAAATACATTTAAAAAAAATAGAGTAGAGATAAGTTCAAAAATATTAAGATGTATGGTGGTATTCTCTAAGATAGTTTCTCTTTAAACATAAAACACTTGTTGAATTTCTGATGTTTTCACACAGTGTATTCCATACATTGCTACCTGACACATCGAAAGATTTCTTATGATACTCATATGATACTTCCCTCTCAAACATAATAACGGAAGTGACATTTGGGGGAATATTCATTTAGCGCTTGGAAAATTGACATCTGCATAAACATAACAAAGAGTAGTACTCCCTCCCCCGGAAATTTGAAACTGATGTTGTACATCCCTATAGGAATTCATACTCTAAACACATTTTTTTTTGTGGGAACATCCTACTCTAGAGCATATTTTTTCCGATGGAAATCCTTCTCTAGAGCCATATTTTCTGGAGAAATATTAAAAAAAAAGAAAGTTGTTGACACGACTCTTACCGGGGCCTGAAGAAAAAAAATTATAATGAATGAACCTGTCTTTTGGTGCTTAAAGTACTGCAAAATTTAGATTTTCAACTGAACTAGAACTTTATGTTTGCGAGAACAAAATAATTTGGGATCAAACTCACATACATCAAACACTTTTTTCCCTATGAACTTAAATCATGTCATTTATATGTATTAAAGTAGAATTTTTTTCCCTTTAAGTCGGACCATATATGATACTTGAATTCTGCAACATAGGCCAACTTGATATTTGGTTAATAGACAATAAGAAGAAGGCCTACGACAGAACATTTGAGATGCAGCTTTGTAAAATTGTGAATGGGATTTGCGATGGAATGTTGCATTTAGAAATCAAAAAGGTAAACCGTTATTTGAATTATTGCATGAGATGAATTTCAAGTTAATCTAAGATGTGACTAATCTTTTTCACTTCTTAATTTTCAAAACAATATGTCCAAGAATTATCAAATTAAAATATATATTTAATGAGATCAAATACGTGAACATAATGTGGATATGTGGAAGAATGCAACAACTGTTTACTTTATTTTATTCATCTAATACATGATGATATTGGAGTTTTATGAATTCGAAGAGACTTACTTTTACAATTGACGACTGACTTTTACAATTTTAATATAGACAAACTCCAATCATTAAGATGTAAAAGTCAGCTGTCAAATGTAAAAGTAAGTCTCTTCATAAAACTCCACTAATGCCCATGTAATTGAAGACTAGAATTTGTCGTGTCAGATCGATTTAAAGAGAAGCCGCTTGGTGCAGTGGTTTGAGTGTCTGCACTATAGTTGCAGTGTTCCTGGGTTCGAATTCCACTATGTGACGTTGAGACCGTCAAATGAGGCCCTTTAAGCCGAGGTCCCGTTTTTCTGTAAATACTGGTATGATAAAGGCTCTCTAAATTACGAATATAGGTGCAAAATTCGCAGTCGGCAACTGGTGGTGTCTCAATATGAGTGAACATTTTTGGAAAGGGACCCTAAAACAAACTATGTAGAATCAAGGTCAAGGATGTTAAATCGTAGAAACCACTAAACATGATCAAAGACACGACTATAATCAGAACTGTCAAATTTTCGGTACGACCTAACTCTTTTTATGGATATAGACAAGGTTAAACGTCATTAGAAAGCAATCCAAATAAAAAAAATATCTTGCACTATAAATTTGATAGTAAACCCATTTATTTACATTTTAATATATTGAAAATCGTTTTTTCGAAATCGAACTTCGCAGTGGTCCGAATTCATTTCAAATACATTGTAGATAAGTTAAAACACCGAAATTCAAATTAAATTTTATATTGTAAATAATTAGAGTTTAGTACTTTTTAGTACCTTCTAATTATACATATATAAATACTGACTTTTTAGTTGGTGCATAAAAGTCTTGCAGCTAGAAATGTGCTTCTGAATAAGCCTCCAAGATCCTCATCAAGTGAATTGATACCAAAGATTTATGGGTTTTGTCCAACACCAAAGATTGATGAAGACGGTAATGTAAGTCTCTCTCTCTCTCTCTTGGTAATAAGGCAAAATATTTATCATGGAATGTATTTTAAGTTAATAAGGCGTATAGTTAACTATTACTTTTTTGAATAAGTGGGAAGGCTGTGGGCAAAAGCCTGATCAATTCTCTAAAGAGAATAAGTTGACTATATGGTGAAGCTGGATCATTTAAGCAACATTGAACGAATGTTGCTTATTTTGAGAGTTATCAATGATATCATTTTTAATTATTTTAGCCTTTATAATGTTAAAGATTTGTTTGAAACTATTTCAGTAAAAGATATTGAACCATGCCATATATATACATGTGTGATATTACTTTAAATAAATAAATTTAAAAAAAAGAACCTTATCTAATCTCATCTCTTATTTACACTGAGGCTAGAATTGGGTACGATTTTCATTGGTATAATTTAACTTTTTTCTACCGTGTAGGCACATGAATGGGAAGCACATCCATATCATTTTTATCTATCAGTTATTCTCAAATTTAGTTAAGACCCGTTACAAATACCAGAACCTCCTATCTGCTGGATAGAACCATCCTAGGATTTTTCCAGATAAATAATAATTACTAACAAAATACCCAATCGGCGTATCTTTTCGAAAAAAATATAGATATATTTATGCTTGAATTGCTTAAAACCAATGAAATTTTAGCTGCGCCTAATGTTTTTCCAATCGATTATTAATATAATTATTATGAGTTTATGCAAACATTGTTGTGTACCTCAAAATATGAAATATTAAGATATTTATCAAGATTAAGATATGTCTGTCTTCACATGTATGAATGATCTTCTATAAATCATCTTAGGAGCAAATTCCTATACAGTCTGCGGCTCCAGAATATTTTGAAAGTGCCACAAATCTGACATCCAAGAGTGACGTCTGGTCGTTTGGTGTCGTATTATGGGAAATATTCAGTTTAGGTTCGGGTTTACTTATCATATGTATATAGACTGATAAACCTGCTAATTACATGTACGAGAGATGTTTCAGCATTTACCTTTAAAGTAACCATGTTAAATACATCTATTTTTAAAAGTTGCAAATTGCAAGGGAAACTCAAAATCATTGAATATGCTCAATGCATCAGATCAGACATACATGCATTAAAATATTTCAGGCGAAGAGCCTTATCGAGGAAAGACAAGAGAAGGTATTCGGACATTTCTTAACAACGGAAACAGACTAAGACGACCTAAACTTGATTTGTAAGGACATATTCTTACATATATACACTTTTATCATTACTAGAAAATAAAAAAGGCTTTGATTTTTCAAATACATATAAATACTAAAGTATAAATACAAAAAGACAAAAACAAAGTTAAAATCAGTTCCTTGAGTATATATTTACATATAAATATACTTCTTGTTGTTAGTAACTACGACTTGATGACGATGTGCTGGCATAGAGATGCAGGCTCGCGGCCAACTTTCGAGGAAATCAAATGTGAATTAGAAGCCCACCCGCACACTTTAAAAGCTAAAAGTCATTATGAGTGATACAGATCTTACATGTACTCAGATGACTAAAAATTCCACAGAAAAGAACGAAAAACCACCTATTGCACATCGCACACCCATAATTCTGGTGTTAAAATATTATTATTTCAAATTACTTGGTCAATGACCTACTTTAATGCTATGACCAATTTTTTCTTCACTCATAAAATATTACAAGTAACAAAACTTTTTGAATTATGAAATATTGTAGAATGGAATAGCGTTGCTTCATGTAAATAAACGATTTGAGTTTTGGCCATAAATTTGATAATTATTACATTCCGAATTTCCTCTGTCATATTTATATTTTTTCCCATTTATAATCGAATATCACAAAAATCTGACTGATAAGAACTCTAAACTATTTATAGCCTCGGGTTACTTTTGTTGCTTTAATTCTCATGGTATTAACATTATATTGGGTCAATGATCAAATTATTGAGATATGTTGTCTGGAATGGTGTTTGCTAATATTTTTGAATTTCTTTATTTCATAGCATTCAATTATTTGAAATAATTTATGAGCTTTAACTCATATGATATTTGTAAAATGATGCTTAAAAATATATGTAACATTTACATTGTGATCAATATTGCAAGAAATAAAAGATTTTGACAAAAATGAAAAATTAAAAATTTAGTTCGAATTTCCTCTGCATTACCATACATTGATTTTTGTTCCCGTATATTTTCTTCAAATAATAAAATATTAATTTTTAAATTGATATTGAGTCAAAACTAAGTTATTTTATCCATTTAGAACAATTTTTTATTTAACAAATTATACTTTACAAAATTCCCTTTCTGTTTTCTGAAACTTGAGTAAACATCTTCCCTAAGATGTCGTTTTTTTCAGTCATTTTTGTACACTTCGTATTCAATAATATTTAATGTTAAAATGTTATGTTATAGCATAATTCACACATAATAATAAGTATAGGATTTCGGTATGCTCTTAGGTGATGTAGATTACGACAGTTCTAAAATTGTTTCTCAGGGTTTCTCGGCAAATGCAGCCGCCTTTGTAACCGTTCCTTTTAAAGCACTCAACTAAATAGTATCAAAGAAAGCTCGATTATTTTAATTTGTAAATACCCTATGGTGAAATCATACAGATGTAACATCATATCATTTATTGAAGAAGTCCCATTTAAAACATCGAGTTCAAAAACTTTAATATAATAAATATAAAGAATAATTGTGTATCTTTAACATGATATATCAAATATGTATTAGGGCTTAGCCCTAAGACATATTTGATATATCATGTTAAAGATACATAATTGATGTCTCGTATTAAAGGTCGATAATGTTCAATTTATTGCAAAAAGAATGTGACCCTAATTTGTGCGATAAACCACGTGAGCTTAGAATATGTGTATATACATTTCTATGGTTAATGATACTGAACACATCAATACAAATAAAAATTTAATGCACTGATTTATTTTTAGTTTTTGATTGATATTGATTTGAAATGACATAAATCCATGAAAAATAAAGAAATCGTAGGTTTCCTTGCTGCTTAGATATGACTTTCTATTTGCTCTCTATATAATTCCATACAAAATTTAATTGGCACATATTTTCAATTTAATCACAAAATCTTTTAAAATTCTAACATTATAGTTGGTAACCATTATTCATGTTACCAATTTATATGTAAATCTATGAGAAATATTGCTGATTTCTGAAAAAAATTGTGTTACCTTATTATTATTCTTAAATATCTTAATTCGATCGATATCTGAAAATCAATATAATATTTAAGTCGAAAAAAACTTAAAGCAATAAAATCTGTTGAACAAAAGAAGTTGCTTTTAGTTATGTAAAATTTTCAATTATAATACAATTCAAAATATGTGTATACCTAAGGAGATAATACACTTTTTATGTCGATAAGACGATAAAATATCAGACCATATGCAAAGTTGTAAGACGCCAACTGTAGAACCCTTAACTACGTACATGTACATAAGCATATGCTGTAAAATGAGTGATCCGTGAGCATTGTGCGCATAAGGTAACTATATTAACACTTTTCATCGTATTATGGAACTCTTTTTACATGTATTTGAGAATAATCTGCGGCGGTCACCGACCTACTGTTTTTGAGACTCTACCATCCATCCATGAATACAAGTACGACAAAAATTAATGATAGTCGCACGTGGTAGCCTCTTTTAGAAATATGACGGTTAATTACTGACGTCTGTTTATAATTATACCCCCCGCTTGAAAAGCGGGAGGGTATATAGTAATCGTTAATTCCGTCCGTCTGTACGTCGACTAGCTGTCTGTCCGTCCGTCTGTTAAGCTTTGGGGTACCCATCTCTTATCCGCAACTCCTCTCATACAACTGAATGAAATTTGATGCACCTTTCACAGAATCTTTATTACGTAGTAATGCACCTCCTATTTTACTTTTTGATCCGACACATATTTTGGGTTTCCCGGCCACAGGAAAACATAGACTTTTTCACCAGTTATAACCATATGGGAGGCGGGGGGTATCATTTAGTGAGCTCATCGCTCACAGTACCTCTATATAGTTTTATTATAGAACACGAATTGTCGTAGAATACGCTTCCAAATAACTTAACTTTAATAAATACGCCAGTCAATGAACTTAAACAGACTTGTAATAATTATTGTCTGTTTCTTTTTGTTTGAAGGAATGCAATTAAAGACCGTGTCACACTGTCACGATTTATGCTACGATTACCCACGAATTAATAAAAGTTGAAAATCGCCGTTCATCGCCAGGTTTGTCTTGCGATTTTTCTACAGCGTGTCGAATATTTTGCTGCTAGAATGGTGTGTCTGCGATGTCTGTGCGACAAAGTACGAGGTTTGTACGATGTAAGTACGAACTAAGGCGACAGCGTTACGAACTGGTTACGATATTTCTACGATTATGGAGGATTAAACGCGGTTACATACGATACTCGTACGAAGGACTACGATATGCCACGTTACATACACGATATTGCCACGACTAATGGCGATTTCTTACGATTATACATGTAATGGAATGCATATATTAGTATAGAGTAAAGGGAGATTTGTCTGAAATCATTAAACATCATAGTCATAGTTACTGGTATGTTATCTTGGACAGACGCAATAAATCAAAGACAAATTTTGAATGGATTTTCTATTTATTTGGCGCTTTTGGGCACGGCTGAATAATATAACATTTTATCTCGGGCCTCCAAGCAACGGGTAGGCCCAGCAACAACAACAACATTTCAGTTCAACAATAACATTTCAGTACAACATCAATATATCAGGTGACATTGACCCTGGGAGATGCAGAGGTCAAGGTCAACAAAATTTCAGTTCAACATCAACATATCAGGTGACCTTGACCCCTGGAGATGCAGAGGTCAAGGTCAAATAATAAAAACTTGCAGTGCAACAATAATATTGACTCATCCACGACTCTGGGAGGTGCAGAAGTCCAGGAAGAAAATAAAATATTTAGAATAATAATCACACATCAATGACTCTGGGAGGTGCAGAAGGCAAGAAAGAAAATAAAAATAAAATAGTTTTGTGTACAGTGTCACAATATTTACATGGTATTCAACTTTGACCCTGTATGGTGCAGTGGTCCAATAATTTCTTACGATTATACATGTAATGGAATGCATATACTAGTATAGAGTAAAGGGAGATTTGTCTGAAATCATTAAACATCATAGTTCATAGTTACTGGTATGTTATTTGATCATGGTAAAAACTACAGTGTGGAACTTTTGATTATGTTCAATTTCTTCGTGTGTTTATTGGTCACGCTGTTTATAGTTTCTGTAACACATGCATTTTCAGTTTATTTAACATTTCTAAGCTTCTTTCCTTTTATTTTAGGCAGTATTTTGATTTCGACAGTGTTTATATCAGACACCGTCTGCCTACATCGTATCAAATCGTAGTTCAATCGCACAGATTTCGTACAGCAATTGCCATCAATCGTCCTTTTTCGTGTCATATTCTTGGGAAAGTCGTACTATGTTCTTATCATTTCGAAGAACACTCGCAGTATCTCGTAGGACACTCGCAGTAACTCGAGAGACACTCGCACAAACTCGAAGGACACTCGAAATAACTCGTAGGACTCTCGTAGTGTTGCGAGTACTACGAAGTTCCGCGAATGTCGCACGAACTTTGAAGATTTACTACGATTATGAGTACGAGTTCAGTGCGGATGCTGTGCGATTGTCTACGAATAATAAAAAATCGTGCTGTGTCCACGATTGTTTTGAACATACTCAAAACAATCGCCAAGTATGGCGATTTCCTGCGATCCAACACGATTAAGGAAGATATCCTGCGAGTACTTCTGCGATAAATTCCGACTTGTTGCGATTTTTGAATTCGTAGTGAATTGTAGCTATAAATCGTGACAGTGTGACACGGGCTTAAGGCATTTTTACACCTATTAAACACAGAAAAATAGAATGCAATGGTTTATGATCGGACTCTACAGTTCCGGATCTACCATAGATGTACTGATAAAACTTTTGACATCCAAAGACAACTGTTACTGCCTCTTTCTCTATCTGTACGTAATTATAATTTCTTTGAGCCGCTGGCAATGCTGTTGATGCATACGCAATGGGTCTACGTTGTAAGAGAATTGCACCAAGTCCTCTTGAACTGACGCATCCACTGAGAGCTTTAGTGGAAGTCCTTGGTTGTAGTATGCTAAGACCAGAGTAATTGTAACCATGGCCTTGATTGTCTCAAAACTGATATTTGGTTCCTTAATGCAAACCCATGCACAGCCTGACAAAGTTTCAGTCATTTTTCGTAGTGAAGCACTTACATCAGATAGTCTTGAAAGAAACTTTCCTAAGTACTGAACTAGTTCTAATAAGGTAAGTACTTCCTGTCAATTTTCTGGTTTCACCATCACAACGGCTCTTAGTTTTTCTAGATCAGATTTCACTTCATTTTTGGGTAAGTACTTGTCATACATACTAGTATTTCACTTCAGTTTTACACGCTTAATATTTTTGCCTACTGAGCTTTAAGTAGGACTCTTTTACACGCCATAAAACTCGGCGTAATATCTGGTCATGTTTTTGAATCGATGACCCCCTAACTAAAATATCATCAATGATGACCTCTTTTTCTCACTGTTTGCAATGTACCATATACTCATAACTGTACACATCCCATACCTTTTTTGCCTACCCAGATCATAAAGTAGTTACATATTTCCTCCTTGGATTTTCCTTTCAACGGTCATGGAACAAAAATTCTGGGTGAGCTTCAAGTTTTTTTTTCACGTTTTCAGAAGCCGATTTTCGGGGTTGCACCGATAAGAGATTGAATGATTAAGTTGAATGCAAACTTCAGTATGCTTGATGACGCTCTAAATAAGTGATTTTAGCCACTTTCTGACATCATGTCTTGACACATGTAGGAAGCCATTTCGAGTTGTAATCTACTGTGAGTGGGTAATGGTAAGAGAAGAACACAAGAGTCTATGTAGTGACCTGGCATGTCAGTCCAAATAGAGTATAAAATATCAAAATGTCATATTTGTGCAGAAGTTTAGAATTCCAATCCAAAGAAACCAATGATATGCAGAGAGTTACCAGATCGTCCATGGTCCAAGATAGCATCTGACATTTTGTATACAAGTAGAACAGTTATCTAGTCGAAGTAGATTACTACTAGAAATTTATGGCCAGAGATAACCATCGTAAAGAACCTTTCATAACTACAACTCCTCAAATCTCTTAAAAGCATGTATTCTAAGTACGGTATCTCTGATGAACTGGTGTCTGACAATGGTTCCCAGTATGCAAGCAAGGAGTTAAGATATTTTACCAAAGAGTATGTATTTACAAACGTCTAGCCCGTTGTATCTTAAAACGAATGGACAGGCAGAGAGAATGGTACACACAGTCAAGTGGCTTCTCAAGAAAAACACAGAGCCTTACAAAGCGTTGATGGATTATAGCAACACAAAAATCCAAGGACTAGGACAGTCACTCTCAAAGATGTTTCTAGCTAGGACGACGTTTAATAACAAACTTACCTAATGCAGGAGATTTACGTCGTCCTAAGGACAACAACATGCAAAAAAACTAAAAGTCAGACAGTTGTAATATAAGAAATTTAATGATCGTACATGAACCAAGAGTCTGCGGAGAATTGGATACAGGAGAAAACGTTAGACTACAAGATGGCAAAACATGGAGACATGCGACCGTGAAATCCAAACTACCATTACATAATCATATATCTGATCATGTGATGGGAAGATGTACCGTCGAAACCCCTGTAGGCTGAAAAAGACAAAATCCGTAAAACCCACACAAAAGTCTGATAATTTCTATTTCCAGATTACAGAAAGTAATGAAGAAGAACGTGTTCCACTGAAGCAATTTCCCGAGTCTCGCGTGTGCGCAAAACAAACATCTGATAAAACCATCAAAACCAGATCCAGATTATCGTGAAAGTTCCATCCATTTGCAGACTAAGTTATGCAGCCAGTATAAATGTATACCATGCATGCACATGTACACTAGTTCAATACCAATCAAAGGTTTTGTAAACTGTTATATTTCAGTGAAGTCTTAAGATGATTTCAGATTTCAATATTCTTTGAGGCATTTTTTTTATCTGGGTGACGTAACCATGAATTTTGAAAACGGCTTTTAGTCTATACAACGTGAAAATATCTGTATTAGTATCTTTTTTCGTGATTTTTTATTAACTGTTCTGTAAATACTTAGACATTCAACTTAAAAAAATACTTTGGCTATTTGTACACAAGCCATTCCTATAAGCAAAATTGTTATGTGCTCTATACAAGGTTTATTTCTCTAGCAAAAAGACATATTTGGATTCCACCCAAAAATACACTTGGCATAAACAGCCAAAATTGATGGGAATATATTTGCTACATGGATAGCTTGTTATGCCCCCGTAAACGAAGTTTCCGGGGGAACATAGTTTTGTAGTGTATATCCGTCTGTCTGTCTGTCTAGCTGTCTCTCTGTTTCACATTTGTATTCCTTGTGACAAGACCTTAGTCTGGGTCTCACCAAATTTGACCTTGGAGTTTGACAAACTTTAACACATAAATTCCAAACTTTTACTTTGGCAATATCTTTTGAACAGTAGTAACCAGGACATTCATACTTTAAATACTTATTTTTTGAGGCAAGACCTTTCATTGGATACCAACAACCTTGACCTTTGAGATTTCATACTTGTGAAAAACTTTAATCTTGGTCATAACTTTTGAATGGTAAGGGATAGGGCTCTCATATTTCACATATGTAATTCTTGTGAAAACAACCTTCATTGGATACCAAGAATTTTGACCCTTTATCCTTGACCTTGGAATTTGACTTACTTTATATTTTACATATTGAATCCTTGTGACAAAAGACTTTTTTTAATTAATTTTTATTTAATCCTTTCATTTTATAGCAAGACTTTTGACCTTGACCTTGGAATTTGACCTACTTCTTAAAATCATACCCTTTGCCATATTTTCTGAACGGCAAGGGCTAGAGCTTCCATACCTTACATTTGTATTTGTTGTGGCAAGACCTTTTATTGGATACCTATGACCTAGACATTAAAGATTTTTGTACTTATAAAAAAAACTTAGCATTGGCCTACATTCATATTTCACAGTTCTATTTCCAGTGAGAATATCCTACTTTTGGTACCAATATATCAAATTCGCATTTAAGAAAATCTAATCTTTGTTATGTTGGCATACGGGGGCATCAGTGTTACACAAACACATCTTATTTTTCTTAAGTATTTCAGAGATGTATAATGTTTCGCTATACCTGACAAACTCTAGAATAAAGTATATGCAAAATCATGTCGTGCCTGGTTGGTTTACACAACTTTCTGAAACTTATGTCGGTTAAAAAGCTTGACATCTGTGAGACATAAGTATTTTGCATTATATAAAAAAGAAAATCAGAAATATCAATATGATTATATGATATAATCCTGATATTGACTTTCACATTTCAAAATGTTAGATTGAATGATTAAATTTGTCAAATTTATCAATTTAACACATTTTTTACTTTTATTTTAATTTCATTAAATCTTTGTTTTTAGATGTTTTGGTTGGAATCAAATTTTTTTTTTTATCCTAGAACTCTATGAATTTAATCCTTAATGTTTCCACCACCTTTCAATGTATCTATACATAATTGGCGAAGTTTTCATCTGTACTGAAACCAAAATTGAAAACTGATACCAAAATAGGCCAAACAGAAACATTTAATACTTCAGTATTTTTTAATTTTTTTTTTAAAAAGTTGATCACATGATACTCAAGAAAACAACCCCATAAAATTATAAAAAGTATCTGACATCCGATTGGTTGATTCAAGGTTAGCTCATCTTTAAATTTTGCATTCTTAAGTTTGGTTTGTTATTTTTAAAATGTCTCAAAAATGTTTAGGTGGATTCTCTATATCTTTTTGACAGTGTTCTGTATTTCTTCATTTTTGCAGTAAGTATATGTCAAACTATCTCAATATACGTTTACAAATTAAAGGTATACTTCTGTATGGAGAAAAGAAAAAGGGAAATTCAGGAAATATGAGTGCATTTTTAAGAAATTTATTTTGTTGTTAAAATGTGTTATCATAATTATTTTCTATGTGATTTAAACCTATATGGTTAATAAGACTAAATTAAAGTATCATATCGTTTTCGAAGAAAGACTATTAAATATACATGCACATATACTGAAAGGAAAAAGAAACGCAAAGTTAACTTTTGAATTAAATTATTATTTCGAATATGTTTTCTAATATTGTAATAAAACATTTGAATTTATTGTTGATCAACAAGGTACCAAAATCTTGTGTGAGTTTGACTGATAATTCATGAGTTATTGAACTTGATATGTCAATACACCCCGAAAATTAAAATAAAAAATCTCATTATCACCCTTGCGCATCAGTGACGCCTTGATTCTCCTGTGCATTGAGTTCACCAGAGCATTTATCTTTCTCATAGGACTATTATTCAACCCTTCCGACGGTTAATAGTTGAGAGTAGCTGTAACATTCTGAAGCCAAAAATCTCCCCGCACAACGTATCCCTCGAATTTTTTTTATTTAGGATAGAATTTACAGAATCCAGTTGGTTTGATACACGTGAATGTTTCTTAAAAAAAAGTATCGACAAACACTATCTTCACCTTCCTAGTGTGAACATGCGTAGTTAAGCATGTGAGAGTAAAAACGACGTTAAAGTTGCCCAGCTTGCGGACCAAATTAGAGCATATAGTTTCTGTCTATTTAAGGGCAAAAATGAGTATGAACGCTGCTATATAAATATCAGTTTCTGCAGGGATAGTATCTTGACGATTATCAACTTGGCATCGTGAAAAGTCTTAACTTGCTGTGACGTTGGTACGCGCCAACGTTACTGTAATGGTTGGTTGGAAACCCTTTAAGGTATACCTTTACTCAGATGACTAAAAATTCCACTGATAAGAACGAAAAACCACCTATTTCACATTGTACACCTCTGATTCTTGAGTTAAAATTCAATTTCAGAGTATTAGGTCAATGACCTACTTTTCATGCTAGTGGTCCGTGAGTTTTTCTTGGGAAATACCTCATTTTTTCACACTATGACCAATTTTTTCTTCACTTTCAATATATTACAAGCAACAAAGCTCTTTAAATATAATTAGCAATGGAACGGTGTTGCTTCATTAAAAGAAAGGATATTGGGCCATAAACATGATAATTATTACAGTCAGAATCTCCTCTGTCATATATATACTGAAAGGAAAAAGAAACGTATAAGAACATAATATGGGGAAAAATTTTGACTATGTGGCCGAAAGATATGAAAATTGGTCAAATGTGTAATTTGGTTACTTTGCACTAAAATCGCTAGTCAAAACTACTCAACCTTGAAATGTATGGCGTCACGTAGGGGAAATGATAAAAAGTCAAAAACACGTGCATGTTGATGATGATAATTTTGTGAAAAAAATTGTAGTGCCAAACGATGCATTAGAGTTATAAAAATAGTTTTTGCAGATTTGCAGTCAGTATAAATTTCTTGCAATCGTGGTATGGCTGACGGAAGCTACTGTGTGTTTAGTAATCGAAGTCAATATTGCATAAGTGAATAAAAAGGCAAAATCAAGCTGCTGTACAGATTGATTTCAACTTATCAATCAAACAATTTTTTTTGTGGTTGTCAGAGAGTTAACTTAAAATGTTTCCAACCAACCATGACGGCGACGTTGTCGCGTAACAACGTCACAACAAGATGGGGCTTTTCATCATGCCACCTCTGTTATTGTCAAGGCATTATCACTGAAACTGATATTTATACAACAGACAATCATACTCATTTTTTTCATCCTAAATTGACAGAAACTCTCTGCTCTAATTTGGGCCGCAAGCTTAGCAATTTTACGTCAATTTTACTCTCAAACGCACATGTACGCGTCGTTTGCGTGATTTTTTTAGCATGTTTACACTGGAAAAATTTAGCTAGTGTTTGTTGAGACTTTTTTTTTTTTTACAAAAATCCACGTGTTCTGTGGATGTTTGCTGGGTTCTGTACTTTCTATCCTAAATCGAAAATTCGTATTCGATTGGGCGGGGGGGATCTGTTGGCTTTGGATTAATACAGCTAATCTCAGCCATTAAGACTACCGTCGGAAGGGTTGAATAATAATGTTCTAAAAAAGATAACTGCTCCGGTGAATTCAATTCACAGGAAAATCAAGTTTGTTACTGATGCAAAAGGGAGACTATGAGAATTTTTAGTTTTATTTTTGGGGGGTGTCGGCAAATTGATATCAATATCTCAGGAATTATTACTCAGAATCACACAAAATTTTGGTAACTTGTTGATTAAAGATGGATTAAAATTTATGATAACAATGGTGGAAAACATATTTGAAATAATTGTTTTAATTTAACTCAAAAGTTTAATATGCGTTTCTTAATCCTTTCAGTATATATATTTTTGCCCCATTTTTATTTGAATATTACAAAAATCTGAATGATTAGAAATCTACTTTTTTTTATAAACTAAGATTACTTTTGTTGCGCTAATTCTCATGGTATTAATATTATATGGGGTCTTTGATCAGATTATTGAGATTTGTTGTCTGGAATGATTTTTGTACATATTTTTGAATTTCTTTATTTCATAGCATTCAATTATTTGAAAGCATTTATAAACTTTAACACATGTAACATTTGCAAAATGATGTTTAAAAATACATGTAACCTTTACTTTGTGATTAATATTTCAAGAAATAAATTTTTTTGACAAAAATGAAAAAATTAAAATTTTAGTCCGAATTTCCTCTGCATTACCATACATTGACTTTTGTTTTCTTCGAATAATAAAATATTGACTTTTTAAATTGATATTGAGTTAAACTCGATTATTTTATCCATTTAGAACAATTTTTGATTTTACATTTAATACTTTATAAAATTTCCTTTATCTTTTCTGAAACCTGAGTAAACTCCATCCCTAAGTTACTGTCTGAACACCAAAAAACTTTAGTTTTAAACGAACTGCACAACAACATGTTGTTGCCTTTTTATTTACTAGTTGTACTAGTATGCGTAGATCGAAATCGCAATATGAACATTAGAAAATATTAAAATTTTTCTGTAATTGAAATAATCAATAATTTTTTTGCCACACAATCTTCCGATGTCACGGTTGCAGCTCATTTAAAAAAAACAACGTTATTCAGTGAACATGGCGTTATGAATAGCAACTGCTCTGCTGGCATATTCCATGATGCGCGCTAGCGCATCATGGAAAATATGCCAGCAGAGCTATTGCTATTCATAATGCCATGTTCACTGAATAATCGTTGTTTATTACTTATATTTGCATTCTTCGATTTTTTACAAGATTATTAGAGGAAATCCTGACTTACATAAGGACGTGACTTCCTGTCTTCAGTAAAGAAAAACATACGGCTTTAAAATCAGTACACCTGATCAATGTTCTTTTTCTCTAATAAATCACAAACAATTCATAAAGTACTTCCCTCTCTCACACAGTTATCTGGATAAAGCACCGCCGTCATCACATTCTCTTAATTTTTGTTTTGATGCAGTTGTGACGTCATCGATCAACGTTATTAAACCCTCTGACAAAAATCAAAAATTTAATACTATGATGAAAAATGAGAATGCTTTCATACATGTAATAATTATTACTCCAGAATGCTTTTCTATGATTTTTTTTCAGTTTTTTTCTATTTATTTCTAATAGCTGAAATCATTCTTAAGATATACTAATTAAAGAAATTTTCTCTTTTCTGAAAGTTATTACCCAAGTGTGATGAGTTATCGTTCTTTGTACAAATATGCATGATACGAAAAAATAAAAATATGGCAGTTCTCTATAATTTTATAAAGTTTTATTATAAAATTAAATACATTGACCAAAATTGAATTTTTTAAGATATAAATCAGCAATTCTAAATATTCTGAATTTCTTTTTTTTTTCAAAGAATATTATTAAAACCTTATATTAATTCCTCTTACGAAACATTTCATATATATACTTCTTAACACTATGTAGTGGAGCTTGTTCTACGCAAATATGAAAGAGCAATTGCACTCATAGCAGAAGCAATTTCGTCTATAGTCCTACAGACACAGTTGATGTCTACATGTTGATTGTGAGAGAGAGCAGTGGATATGCAAATATATTGCTTTAAGTGACAAATAAACTATGTTTGCTATGGCTGAAATTTTGCGTAAAGGATGGCTGCACTTAACTCTGTGTTTTGGGTCTTTTTCGATCGCTACTGCTGCTTTTAAATCTTAACTTAATCTCACATTAATATATCTACAACAGAAATATGTCAATTTAACACTCAATTTATATGTTCAAAATAATTTTAGACTGTAATACAATATATATTTTCGTGTTTTTCGTCCTTTGGAAATCTTACAGTTTTCAAAATACCGAGAATTTACACTTGCCTCCCCTTGATTGAACATTTTGTAGAAATGTATGTATTAGAGAAGGAGCTAACATCGTAAGAATGGATCTAAAATTAGACTGGATAAATAACAGTCACATGTATTAAAAAAAATAAAACCTCTTTTTTCCACCTTGCTATTTATTCTGTATGGCACAAGTACATTATTTACAAAGGTTTAAAATGCATTAGCCCATCCATTTTTAGTAAAGAATATATTAATTCGATGGCTGACTATTTAACGTGTTCGAGCAAAGTGCCCTAAGTAATCATAAAACATGCTATCAATTAGTAACGTGACGGAATTTAGTATTCACAAAATTACCGAGGAAAGTCTGGAAGGATTTCACATGGTGAATTATAATATTTAACTTCAACTTGACTCAGCCCTTGGTTACAATAGAGAGTGCGAGTGTATTAGAAGAAGCAGTTTTTTCTCTTTTTAACCATGAGCGCATGTTTGTCTATTAATCTCCTTTTAGTAAGATATTATTTATGCAAATATGCAACTACTGTTAAAAAGAGAACAATTGACAAACATTCGCTGACTATGTATATAGTCAGTAAAAAAAATGAGCGTTCTAATTACCGTACGGAAATTGATTGATTGATTGATTGTAAATTGTTTAACGTCCCTCTCGAGAATTTTTCACTCATATGGAGACGTCACCGTATGCTGGTGAAGGGCTTCAAATTTTGACCTTTACTCGGCACTCAGGGCCATTGAGCAGTGAGGGATCTTTATCGTGCCAACGCCTGCCACGGGGCCTCGGTTTTTAAGGTGTCATCCGAAGGACCCGCAACTTTCACTTCAAAGTGCCGCACGCATGGCGAAGGAACAGTTGCTACCCATTTTAACGACTAGGTCTGTCGCGGCCGAGATGCAAACTCACGACCTCCCGATCACGGTACTGAAATTGAAGAAATGGTGTAAACAACCTATTCAAACACATTCCTACATCCAAATACATACTTTTATTTAAAGTAAATTAAAGTTTTAGATAGGATGTTGATCGTTTATTGCAAACATACTAGAATTAAAACTATTGTAATGTACATACTGTATAAAGGAACTATTTCCCCCCAGAACTTATTCTTTACTCTCTACACATCTGAACTCAGTCCGTGTTAATTAAGTTTCACACGACTTGGACATTTGGCCTTTACAAGTCACCAACAATATTTTTGAAAGCGGTTTGATTTTTAAAACTCTAAAACGTTTGTAATTCAGATACCGAGAATATTTTTGTTCAACCGTGGCTTTTAAACATAAGTAAACGATATGATTGTAATGCTGTTGAAGCAAATACCTCGTAATATTTGAGCTTGAACTCTTTTCTTTATCTCCATATTTCATTGTTATATTTTATGGGCGAGATTTGGGCACCTTGTTTGTCAGTATAATAAAAACAATCCAAATACCACAGTCAGCGATAAAGATAAGAATATGAAAGAGGAATACCCGTCCGTCTTCAATTTCTCTGCTTATATAATTCTAAAATTTTCCATGTCTCATGGCTCTTTCAGTTTTGGTGCTTTGCAAAGGTTTTTCCGAATGGCTTTCGTTTTCGATATTTTCTTTACAGAACATGCATAAATTTAGCTGAACTTTTTTAATGAAGTGTATTGCATAAATTAAACAAAAAAAATTGTTACTTTGCTTTTTAGTCTAAAAATTTATGTTGCAGAAAAATTTATAACTCGATAAAGGTTTATAAAACCACCCAACCCAGTTTTAACCGTATGAATGGATGGTTGTTTTTAAATTCATTCCTTGAATATTTCATATTGTATCCTGCGTGAGCAGTTTTTTTATAACCCCGTTTAGACAGTCGAATAAAACGCCCGTGTCTGACATGTAGCTATAATTTGAAGTAGGTTGGGTTGAGAGAATTGATTTACAACATTTATGGTTGTCATGTTGAAAATTTTGTATTTTGAATGGAACAAAATTAATGCTTTTTTGAAGTTATTAATAAAAATAATGTATGTAAATAAAAAAAATGAGAAGAACACTTACTCTTTTGCATTTGCGTAATGGTTTTTTTTAAATTTCAAAAAGTCACATGTCAGGTTACATAATAAGATTTTTGTTCACACTAGGAATAGAAGAGGTACATTCCCTCTTAACAGATGAATTATCTATACACATTTTTTTTAAATCTGGACATAGCACAGATAATACATATTGTATTGCATACTGCAAACATTAGACAGATGAAATATTTTTTCATTTTTTTTTTCAAAATCGATGACAGTTAAAAAAAAATTTCTTCATTGTTTACGTAATGTTGTTATTGTTAAGTTTAAGAGTATCTAGAATTTTCCAGGTCCTATGACTCTTTCAGTTTCGATGTATTTAAAAAGGTTTTTCCGAATGAGTTTCGCTTTCAATTTTTTTTTAAAAGAACACACTTTCAAACATAAGAATTACCGATATATTTTAAGTGAATTGTGATGTGTAAATAATATTTATGGTGGCATATGTATGCCATCTACATAATTTTTTGTCTACATAGCATACAATGTCAAATCAACTGAAGATAACTATCTCGTCAAGTGATGATTGCATGTCCATTTATGATGTAACAATGGAGCTAATAAGCGAAGCAACAATTATAGAAGATTTACCATCATAAGTAGAGCTTTTTGAAAAAGCTTACCGTCCTTAGTGCTCAACAACCATAGACTTTAAACTGATATAAACCTATCAGGCCGTATTATTAGTCCCTTCCAGTGAAACTGGAGGGGACTATAGGTTTCCCTTGCTTCTGTCCGTCTGTCTGTCGAGCTGTCTGTCCTTTCATCTGGCTGTCTGTCTGTCTGTCTGTCCCAGTCTGTCTGTCAGTCTGTCCCTTTTGGTTTTCTGCATTTTTTCAGTTAATTTCAGTTACAATGAAATTAAAGAGACCTTTTTAGTTATTGCTATAAAAAAATTAAATTAATTACTGCTGATTTTGTTGTTCGTTTTGTCATTTTTTACGATTGAAAATCTTGCAAAATTGTTCAGTCGTTAAAGTTAGATCATCAGAAAGTTAGCTCCCTTGCATCGAACAGCATTTCAACCAATTTCAACCAATGGAATAATTGAATTTTTTCATCATGCAATTTCTACCAATCATAAAAGAGAGGAAGTGCATAATTTGAAGACTGTAAAAAACTTCAACGATATATTACCGTCTTCAAGGAAGACGGTAATAATTCGTATCCTGCTTGCTTAATTATTATCCTTTTTTGCAGACATAACTATTTTTCATGTTGACATGATAAATTTATAATGACGTATTGTTCTAACATATCAACATAAATTAAATGCATATGCATATACGAGGCAGACAGAAATATACAGCCACGATAATCAATACTGATAATCTTTGGGGAGCCATATAATAATAATTTAAACATATGTTATTTTTTATTCTTTGTTTTAATACTATAATATTGACTTTAAAAAAATTGAAAAATTAAAGAAAATATATCGCCCATAGGATAGATTATTTAAAATATTTTTATTGCATTCCTGAATTTAGTATCTCGTGTGACATAAAAATTTAATGTGTCGCAAACAATGTATATTATTTTTAGTTTGCTATAAAAAGCACAATACAACGACGGCGTATTCGTGCCATTTAAACAATGTAGAAATTTTTTTATTAAATCGTTTGTACGATTTACTAAATCGTTTGTACGATTTAACAAATCGTTTGTACGATTAAGTAAATCGTTTGTACGATTTAGTAAATCGTTTGTACGATTTAATAAATCGTTTGTACGATTTACTAAATCGTTCGTACGATTTAATAAATCGTTTGTACGATTTACTGAATTAAATCGTACAAACAATTTATTAAATTGTACAAACGATTTATTAAATCGTACAAACGATTTACTAAATCGAACAAACGATTTACTAAATCGTACAAACGATTTACTAAATCGTACAAACGATTTACTAAATCGTACAAACGATCTACTAAATCGTACAAACGATTTATTAAATCGTACAAACGATTTTAAAAAAATTTCTACATTGTTAAAATGGCACTAATACGCCGTCGTACAATACCCATGCCACGTAATAAAATTTTTAATCCAAGGTAAAGTACAAAGCTTAAAGAGATAAAAATACCAACAACAAAATTCTGCACGGTCATCTAAGTTTTAAATTACATGTTGTATTTAACAATTCTTTTTCTTTAAACGGGGGACACGGATTCTCTGAATTAATTGTTTATTATAAATTTCCAGCTGTCGTTTACTATAGATTCCTAAATATACGCGTGGAATTAATTATTGCGTAATTTCGAGAGGAGAACCACTAGCGAAATAAAATTATTCGCCTTTATTTTTATGATAATGAAACCCATGTAAAATCATCTGACCAACTGTCCATTTGCGAATTATTATTCTCGCGATTTGACGTTGAAGAGCCCATTTACAATCATAATAAATACTCGCGAAAAATAAGGAATCTACTGTATTACCTATCACTTGACACACTAGACAAAGATTCCTTAGTTTGTTTTATGCCATATGAAATTATTTATAATTTTAGAAGTTAATTCACTAATGATAGTAGATTGCATCATAGACAGCTTCATGTTTTCCATGAGTGAAAAAATTCTCGAGAGGGACGTTTAACAATATACAAGTAATCAATCAATTATTATTGTACATTTATCCTTGAGATCCCCTTTTAAATTGACAAACTATAAAATACTTTTGTTATGTAGGAATTTATTCCAAGTACTTGAGATTTATTTTATATACATGTTTATAAATGAGTCAAGAGATACGGGTTTTTTGTAGTTAAGGGTGCCAGGAGAATAAAACTTCGAATATTTCGCGTCAGTGATTCCTGCAGACTTCTCTCTACAACACTCGATTTCTTTACGTATGAAGTAATATTTTCAAAACAAACATTTTTTTATATTAGATCCGCTCCATGTTACACTGAAGTTCAAGCAGTGCATTACTACTCAGAGAGATATTGTTCCTCTTCGTGGTGGGGCTGGTGGTAAGTATACCTTTTTATTGGCAGTCACTTAAATGCAGAACACGACTTGTCGGTTTAGGAAAAACGAAGGCTTCGGATGAAATCAAATATGACATGGCAGCCATACTAGAGCTTAGTTTTTTCAAGGAACATAATAGAGGCAAATTTCATCATATACGAGGGGTGATCAAAAAGTTGGTGAACTAATTAAATAACTTCCATAAAAGAAACACTATTTGATTCAATGCTCATTATATTTGAAATTAAACCTCCGTTCTTCCCATGCGTGAATCACGTGATATTGGCGGTCACGTGACTCCCTCCGTTGAGTTCTGTCACAAAAGTTGAAAGATTTTTCAGAGTTAAATTATATTCTTTCCATGTGAGATAATTTTTATGACAAGACAGTATGACAGAATGGGTGAATAAGAATATCCTTTCCAAAAATAAGCATGGCGACCATTAAAACACAGATCTTCTGTCTCGGGAGAGACCTTTATTCAAGTTGAATAGAGAATGGGTGCCTCCTTTTTATCATATCTAAATAATAAATATGTTTAAAATCTAAAGTAAACGATATCTTACGTATTTATTAATTATATTATTGTTCAAATATTCAACTATTTTTCAGTGTTAATTTGAGGTCTTTGATGGCAAAATGCTTGATAAAAATACATATCTTTTCAAACTTGCTTTCACTTGGCAAAATGACAAGTATCATTTTTAACCATGTGCTTTTCTTCACTAAAACGATCAATCCAATTATTAACTGAATTTATAGGAACTCATTTATCTCAATAAACTGTGTATAAATTTATATATGATACTGCAGAGGGATCTAAGATATACAATAAATCGTTCAGTCGTTTGTTGAACGAGTTCGACTGAGACAACCATTTTTCGTCACAAGTGACCTAAATAGTGACGTCATTTTCACATTGTAACGTCACAAGCAAGGAGAAAAACTTTATTCAGCATATTCTATTTATAGACCTTGTGTATGGGAAAGTGTGAACCGAATTTCATTCTAATCTGAATTGTGGTTTTGTAGATATAGAGATAGTTCGCGAACTTTTTGATCAACTCTCGCAGATGAGTATATTATTATTTCATTTGTATTGTACACTGTATAATTTTTATTTATATTTTTAGGTCACCTGAGTAAGCTCAGGTGACCTATTGCTATCCGTTTTCGTCCGTCGTCGTCCGTCGTCCGTCGAGTGTTAACATTTGAACATTTTCAGCTTCTTCTCAGCAACCACTGAACCAATTTCAACCAAATTTGGCACAAAGCATCTATGGGTAAAGGGAAACAAAAATTGTGAATTTCATGATCCCTGCCCCCCTGGGGCCTGAGGGGTGGGGCCAAAACCACTAAAATTAATGCAATCTTTAAAAATCTTCGTCTTTACTCCTGGACATCAAGCAGTCAAACTGTTTGCTTGATTGTAATCAGCTTTGAGTCCTCTACCAAAATTGTGAAATTCATGGCCCTGGGGTCAGGGGTTCTAGTGCTAAGGCGGGGTTGAATAAGTTTATAGTGAAAATGCATTATTTCTTTGAAAATCTTCTTCTCTGCTCCTGGGTATTAAATAAACCAACTAAGTACATAGTTATGATGAGCAAAAGTGCCTCTACCAAAATTGTGAATTTTAAGGCCCCAGGGTTAGGGGTTCTGGTGTAAGGGCGGGGCTCTATTGATTATATAGTGAAAATACATGATTTCTTTGAAAATCTTCTTCTCTGCCCCTGCGTATTAAATAAACTAACTAAGTGCATAGTTATGATGAGCAAGAGTGCCTCAACCAAAATTGTGAATTTTATGGTCCAAGGGTCAAGGGTTCTGGTGTTGGGGGGCTCTATTGATTATATATTGAAAATACATGAATTCTTTGAAAAACTTCTAATATGCTCCTAGGTATTAAATAAACTAAGTAAGTGCATAGTTATGATGAGCAAGAGTGCCTCAACCAAAATTGTAAATTTTATGGCCCCAGGGTCAAGGGTTCTGGTGTTGGGGGGGGGCTCTATTGATTATATAGTGAAAATACATGAATTCTTTGAAAATCTTCTTCTCTGCTCCTAGGAATTAAATAAACTAACTAAGTGCAAAGTATTAGTTATGATGAGCAAGAGTGCTTTTACTAAAATTGTGAATTTTACGGTCCCACGGTCAGGGGTTCTGGTGTTAAGGTAGGGCTCTTTTGATTATATATTGAAAATACATTAATTCTTTGAAAATCTTCTTCTCTGCTCCTAGGAATTAAATAAACTAACTAAGTACATACATGTAGTTATGATGAGCAAGAATGCCTCTTCTAAAATTATGGATTTAATGGCCCCAGGGTCAGGGATTCTGGTGTTAGGGCGGGGCTCTATTGATTATATAGTGAAAATACATTAAACCTTTGAAAATTTTATTCTCTGTCTCTGGGTATAAAGCAGATGAATTACCTATATAGTTATGATGAGCAAGGGTCCTAATCTTGCAGAATTGTGAATTTCAAGGCCCCAGGGTCAGGGGTAAGGGGGCTCTACTTATATACTGAAAATGAATTAATTGTTTGAAATCTGCTCCTTTGTATTTATAAAACATTTATTTATTTTTTGATATTAAGGGTACCTTTTTAAAATTTGTGCAATGTGTGGACCTAGGGTTAGGGGTTTATGTCACAGTGTTAGGGGCATTACTGATTAGTTGGAATGCATTTTTGTTCCCCTACCCTGCGTATGGGTATTCAGTAACCAAGCTAAGCAACTACTAAGTGTATTGTTATGATGATCAATGCTGCCTTTTTCAAAATCGTGAATGTCATATAGCATCTGGCCTAAAACATGAATCATATTCAATAGGTGGAAAGTTGTTGCATAATGCTCAGGTGACCTATAAGGTCCGTGGGCCTCTTGTATAATTTTCTATTTGTATTCTAGTATTAAAGAAATAGAAATTATACAATATAAAAGAAAATTTTATAATACAGATGGAATATTAAAGATTACAAAAGGAACCTAATGGAATACAAAAATACCTTTTTCAGTACACGTCATAGATATAGGACACGTGCCAGGTACAGTCTCAGAAGACGTTGCTGTCATGGATACACCGGAAGTAACTGCGATATACGTGCGTATTTTAAGATGCTTAAAGCATTAATGTCTGTATTTGGTATTTCTTTTATCTATGGAAATTCATATGTCTATATCTGACTATACATTAGAATAACAATTTATATCCTTTCCAATTATCCTAAGTCTTGCTCCTAAATTGTAATTGAAGAAAAAATCTTCAATTACAAACTCTCTTTAAATATCTTTCGAGAAATTATGTGTGACCTTTTGAAAACAGGCGAGGTAAAAACATATGTCATTGTTGGTCAAAATTTCATAGTACTTCTACCATGTTCAGGAATTTTGTTTATTCAATTAAATCTACTGTTTGACCGCTGCTTTTCTTTTATTGTCAACCAAATTCACCAGCTTTCCACAAATATGAAAGAAAGTTTCATATTAAGGAATATAGGGAAAATGTTGAATATTCGTCATATCACGAATAGCAACGTTATGATTAATCATTTTTGTATGAAAGCTTAAATTCTCAGGTAGTGCGAATTCAGTTTTGCTCAAATCATTACCCTCGTTGGTACATTTCGCTACAGGGTGGCGCCGCCAAGTTTAACAAAGGACGGGAATACGATGGAAAGAGTTATGAAACTAATATTTTTTAACATGAACAGTTAAGTAATGATAGTAATCATATTTGTTTAAGAGCATCCACGAGCACATATTGTAATGAAGATTTAATTTTGATCAAATCATGATCCTTGGGGCCAGGATAGGGCCAGTATGGTCGATCAAAATTTAACAAAAAATATGTTAAAAAAATATTTTTTTTTCGAGAATTGTCATGACAAGCATATTCTGTAGTGTATATTCAATTTTGTTCAAAACTTGACCCTGGGGACGTGGGGTCACTATGGGCAATTAAAGTTTAACTTAGGAATACATAGGAATAATCTTTGAAATTTTTCTTCTCCTCAAAAGCACCAAAAGTTCTGACTTGTGAAAGTGTGTGGGCGTATCCTTAGGTAATGCAGTTTTCTTAAAATCATGACACATGAGGTACGTAGTTCGGGGCCTCTATTATTAGCTGGAATGTATATTGGAGAATTCTTTTTAAATTCTTCTTCTTAAGAACAGCAGGGCTATGATTTATAAGGAAGCATCCTCATGTAGTGTAGATTCAGATTTATTCAAATCATGACCCCTTGATGAAATGTCGGCAGTAATGGGTGATAAAATTTTAACTACGAATACTATAGTTTATGAGAAAAAAAACTTTTTTCGGGGAAAACAGCAATACCTTGATTTGTCATGAATATAGAATCGTCTTCACATTCAAATTTGTTCAAATCATGACATCTGGGGTAGGGTTAGGTCAGGTAGAGTGGAGGCACAATATTTAATTTTAATTTTACATAGGAAATATGTAGATAAAATTCTGCTTTAAAAGAACAGACAGGCCATAATTACTCAAGGATTGAGTAATTTGGTCCATGGTTCTTTTTTATTTGGTTTTATTTGGCTGTCAATCTCTGTGTTTTTTGGCGAGTCGTATCAAATCAAATTGATGTTGTGCCGAAAACTTTCTAGCAATTATGATTTTTGTTTGTAGCGATGTGCAGCTGCCAAAACGGGGGTGTTTGTGTAGCCCCTAATGTTTGCAGCTGTCCTGCAGGATATGCAGGAAACATATGTCAAACACGTAAGATCTTAAACGTACAAAAATTCCATTATAGAATTAAACCTTTAGCTATAACTCTTAATTTTTTCAACAATTACAAATGAAAGTTTTATAATAATAATAATAACAAATTATTCTCCAGCAAGATGTCATCCTGCTTGCAAGCATGGACACTGTGTCAGCCCAGATAGATGTAACTGTAACTTGGGATATACGGGAGCTGCTTGCTCTCAGCGTAAGTTTACCTCTTAACGTATTCTGTTAAAGTAGACATAAAACTTGTCTTGTGAAAATAAGTGTGTTTATTTATTTACAGCTTTATGCAATCCACCCTGTCAGTCAGGAGGAACCTGTGTTAGCATAGACACCTGCCAATGTCCATCAAACCAAGCAGGACCCCAGTGTAGTCAACGTAAGTCGAGCATCTGGATGTCATGATATGTCAATGCTTGTCTTTTACGATAGGTAAGGTATATATAGTCTTAGAACAATATACAATATTTGGAACTGATGGGTGTTTTTGGTCTAAGCTGTTTGGAATGGTTTGTAGCTAAAAAACACGAAAATTTAGCATCCTACTTCCGATACATTCATTAAATCGTGTGTCATTTGTTTGTGTGTTATGTTTGTCAATCATAGCAGATTGTGATACTTGATTGATATTAATTAATCATTTTTTCCAGTAAAAGTTCATAATGTTGTCTTTTTCTTTATCATATATTAATTTCCTCTGTTCTTTAGCTTTGTGTAATCCTGCTTGTTTAAACGGCGGAGTGTGTTCTTCTGGACACGTTTGTGATTGTTCTGGTACCCACTACACAGGATCCAGATGTGAAATACGTAAATAACTTTTGTTTTTACAGTTTATGATTCAAATGACTCATTTCATTAGTTCAATCTAGGGTTATAATATTGAGTGTATTTTTTTTTCAAATGACATTGCATTTTAAAAGTTTAATAACTTTGCTCTTATTTTAATAATATGGAAATGAAATGGTTGAAGCTTGCTTTTAAAATAAATTTTGGCAAAAAGATTCTTAAAAAGAACCTATTTTCATAAAAGTATTAAGTTTTTTTGTTTTATTTATAGCTGTGTGTAACCCACCATGTCAATCAGGGGGAACCTGTATCAGCCCAAATACTTGCCTTTGTCCATCAAGTCATGCTGGAACCCAATGCGATCAGCGTAAGTGAAGGGTTTGATTATAATCCTATTTGGAGTGTTATTTTTTCTTGATATTTTTTAAGGATATACCTTTAGGAGCTAAAAGAAAAAACATCATTCTGCATCATTCAGGTGATATTAAACAGACGGATATTTGTCTAGATATATTTCCTTTTAGACAACTTCTTTACCAAAAACAATCTCAAGCCCTTGTCTGTACCACAACCATATCACAGTTTAAGCAAATCTGCTGCTCCCCGACCATATCAAATTTCTATGAATTAGTCAGATCTTTTATGAACATTGCTATTTTAATCGGCAGTATGTTTTATTCTATCAAATTGAAGTAAAAAAAAAGAATATAGAATATATAATTTAAGATTTAAATTAATTTAAATTTTCATAATAACCTTTATTAACAGTGACAAAATAAAAAGTAGATGAAGATATTTAATATCTTAGTTCTTGATTTCTGCAGATACATGAATATTTTTGACCAATTCATATTCCATATAAAAGAAAAAAAAAAAGAAGTATCTTTTTCCATTTACATGTGCTTGTATAACATTTTATTCCTTTTTCGTATTGATAGCATTTTAAAAGGGATATATCTACTTTTATTTGTACATGTTATGATGAAAATTGATACATTGTACCAATTTGTACCAAAGTATGTCCGCAGCATACTGTAAATCACTTCATTCGCGAGAACTTCATTTTTGCGAATTTACGCGAAACAATGTGTTTTCGAAAAATGAATTTGCGCGTATAATAGTATTTCAAAGGATTTTATAGAGTAATAAACATAATTAGTGAAAATTTTGTCTCGCGTATCAAGAATCAATGACTATCTCGCGAAAATAAGGGTTAACGAAAATTAAGTGATTTACAGTAGTTAAATGAACAGAATGTGTGAATTATTTTTAAACAACCCACGTAACACACTTTAATACTGAGATAGCTCTCTTTCAGCAATAATGCTAAAAATACCAATATTTAATGTATTCTTAAACAGCTTTGTGTAATCCGGTATGTCTGAATGGCGGAGTGTGTACCGCTTCACACACTTGTGACTGTTCAGGAACCCAATATACAGGAGTAAGGTGTGAGATACGTAAGTACTTGTACTTCTTTTTCTCATTAAACCTGAGGTTATTTTCAACAAAGTTACATGTAATATCTGTTTTTAAGGAATAACTCTTAAATTTTTTTAATTTTTAATACTGTATTATTCAAAAGACACACTGCACAATGATAGGTTATGATTAATTTAAAATTGAGATTTTTCATGTTCAGAGTATTCAATCTTGGTTTTGAAATGATATCTGCATTGTTAGTATGAAATGGATATTGGACCACGATACTGATGATGTGTCTTCAGAAAAAATAAATAACAAGAAATACAGCATATCTGTGAAATATCTTAAAATCCACAGAATGTAACTTTTTATATCCCCTTTCAAAATTCATCAATTCATTGAAGAATTCCATTGTCTAGCATATTCTTTTGAAAAAGTATCTTTACTTTATTTCCACCAAATATGACTAAATTTGCATGATACCGGAAACCTGGGGAAAAAAATTAAAGTTCTTTACCAAAAATGTTCTGCGAATTTGTGAGATATTTTTTTGCAGATGTACATGTATAAATATTTTTTGTTTGGAAGCAAATTTCTATTATTTCGTGGCAAAAATTGAATGCACTTACTACATGTAGTGACTTTGTCAGACTGGAATATAAACCTCTTCAATTCAATTCTTCCTTGGTCTTTTTTTCAAAAATATAATATAACTACCCTTCACATCACTGTAAATGTTTGAACTGCTCAATCTTGAATTATCTGAATTAATAATTTACAATTCATTAATATGATGTTTTATGAATACCTAAGGTACTTGCTTTGTGAATATGATTTTTTTTAAGCTTGCGACCCTTAAAATATAAAAATCCTTCCATAATGTAATTAGTTGCGAAGAACGCTTCGCAATTGCAAATATATCATAAGGCAAAGTACTCACGTGCTTTACGAAACATGCCGTTGTAAAGTGAGAAAAATATCCCTGTAGAAAATCTTTCATTTTTCAACGTTGAAAAAGGCACCAAGTCGTAGAAAAATGTGATTTTTATAGATAAATCTTGTACCCAATAGCTCAGTTTTCTTAAATGAAATATCTTAAAATCGACCACGTTGAAAAATGATCCTTATCCCCCAAAAATATCAATGTTACATTCAACAACACGCAATATTTATATATCATACCTGACAAAATCTACAAAGGGATCATTATTCTTAAGTGCATTCTCTTCACGTAGGATATGCAGATTTTTAGGGTAATACAATTTTTATTTGTACAATAAGATTATTATATATGTGATATAAATGAAAGACCAGGAGCAATTTATTGGTGTTGAGACAAATTTTTCGATTCCAAACTCGAGTTGCAAAAAAATCTAGTATATGGCTTAAATGTATGTAACTACAGAGAGCATGTACATGTTTGTGAAGGTTATAAGGTTATTGTGAATGTGTTCTACTGGTATGCATGGATGCAAGGACAACTCTTTGAGGTGAAACGGGTATTATTCATCACTTTATCTTACCTAATTCATGCTGTTAATGCAAAGAGAGGAGAATGTTAAAACAAAATTGGTGAAAATAGTTTCCATTTATCTTTTAAGCGATTTGTAGTCCCGCCTGCCAAAATGCCGGAATTTGTGTCATTCCAGACAGATGTGCCTGTACAGAAAGATATACAGGGAAGAAATGCGACATCCGTTTGTATACTTTTATATTCCCAGGCTTCTTCCTTGAAATATATAACAGATTTTTTTTCTTAACAAAATAAATCAAAAATACCCCCCCCCCCCCACACCGATACTATAGTTTGTTTCCTACAAACATGAGTGTATTAATCACCGTAAGATCCACTTTAAAGTGTATTTTTGAATGAAGGCTTCCTACCCACAACAGAGAGGTTAAGCAGCTAGGGAAATCCTCTAGTTTAATTGGCTTTACGTCATCAGTTTTGCATACCGCGCAATTCTACAAGTTGTACACAACGTGTGGATTCGTAAGTACACGTAGGTGAAAACTTGTAGCTTCTTATACTAAAACTACGCAATAGATATTTTTCAGTCGATATTTTATATGAAGTTCAGAATTTATTTCGAGAGTTATTTGATACAAATGGATTGTAAAGTGCCTTGTTGAAATGACGTTTTACACGTACCGGTACACGTTCAATTTGTTAAATAGATCACGACATTAGTTACGCGTACGTGTAAAATCACTTCTAGGTTTACACGTACAAGTAGACGTACACGGTCAAATGCTTAACATCTCTAATAGCTGCTTTTAAATTATATATCTATAGCTTTATTTTTATATTATATGCTATCTAAAAAATAAATTCCTATATACTGGTAGTAGCATATTTCCAGATTCGGTTTTTTTCCAAGAATTTAAATAACAGCATCAACTTTAATGAAAAACCCCCCAGAAATTAAGATATGTCTCAAATATTTTCAAAGAATGGGAATTTTCCAGAATTCTAGTCATTTGAAAATTAATGATCTTTTTTGTATCTGTACTAATTATTAAAACTACTTTACCTAAGATTATCCATTATTTTAAACCTTATTTCCGTTATTTATTTATTAAAAATTTGATCTCCCAATCTTGTAATGAAACCTTGTTTGTAAGTATACTAATGAATTAATGTACTTTTTCTGTAGCTGTGTGTAATCCTGAATGTGTGAATGGTGGTGTTTGTTCCCAAATACACACTTGTAACTGCTCCGGTACTCCCTACACAGGAATTAAATGTGAAACACGTATGGATATATTTTTTCCTTTTTCTTTAAATTTTAGCAAAACATTGCTTCATTTAAAAGCATGAATTAAACCATTCAAAAATTGTGGTCAGGAAAAATGTTTTCAAAAAGTAGATCAAATTTCAAGGTTAAAGAGTGAAATTTAATGAAACCCAATGGAAAAACACGTGAAATACATCTTTTACATGTAGGTCAGGGTCAAAAGGTAAAAATTGTTGGTAGCAAAAAGAAGGTCATTTTCCAAGGATAACCGGGCTATGTGAAATATGAAAGGAATGAAACATACGGAAATAACGAACAGTATTCAAAATCAAATGTCCATAAAACAATACATAATAGGAGCAGAGCAAAGACGGACCCAAAAAATATCTAAAACGGATGTAAAATATGAAAGCCTTTTCTTCAATAATATAAAAGTTTTGTTATAAAAATAATAAATCGCATGATAAGGAATATAAGAGTAACCTAAAATCTGTTAGCTTTTGAGACAAAACGCTATGAAGCATGTCATGAAACAGCATAGAGCACGTGATTCGCATGTGGGAAGAACAGTTGCAGATGCCCGTTAAAATTGGAGAGGATGCCGTTGGGGTTTTTAAAAGCTCAATTAATTTTATCTGAATATATAAAGTTAAGCTTTAATGAGGTAAAATTTAATATTGATAGAATGTGATTTGAATTTACTTGATGAAAGTTAACGTTTTGAATGATTTCATCATTTGGTTTAGAAAACACAAATCTATAAAGTATAGTTATATTAAATTTATTTTTTTTATTTTAGCTGTATGCAATCCAACATGCAAGAATGGTGGCACATGTGTTTCTCCCAATATATGTGACTGTCCTGAGACATATAGAGGAGCATATTGTGAAATCCGTTTGTATTTTTATTTTCAAAAGCACACTGTTGTTAATTTTATCAGCATTCATAAATTTATTACTAAATTTAATGTTTTTAATACTAAGCAGAAGCTAAAGGAAGCTGACTTTATCTAAACTAATATAATGCACATTAAGGTGGAAAGCTGGCAAACGTAAGAATATTTAAAGCAATATGAGCTGCATTTTTGAAAATTTTATTTTTCTGTTAAAATGTGTAATCTGTATGTAATCCAAACCCCTATGCTCAATAAGACAAAAATAAAGTTTAAAAATGTTTCAGAAGAAATATATTAAATATATTTGTAAAACAGCATATACAGTATTAAATAAGAAATCATTATTGTACATGACGACAATAATTCAATTTTGCCTCAATCAAACCTTATAAAAATTTCTTTCCTAGCAATATGAAATGAACAATAGAAGTTTATAAACGTTCTACTTTCCTGTCATTGAAATAGTTAATTACAAATTTGAAATATTTTTTTCCGATGTCAAACATGCAGCTCATTATTTAAATTTTATTTTTTTTTATAAATACATATTACTCCATATGACACTGATCTCACCTCTGATATTTTTTAGGACTTTTGTTTTGCTCTCTTCCAAACTGGTATTATGCGATTTAAAATAATTGATGTTTGTTATGTAAAAATTTTCTTGTGAACCATGAAAAAAAAAAAAAGAATAATCAAGCTCAAAATTCCATTAAAGCAATATAAATTGCAAACAGAACACAAAAGCTGCTCTAAATATATCAGAACTACGATAAAGTGTAATGAAAGCGTAAACATTCACTGTTAACCGTTACTCCTTGTCATGATCAAACAAACGGAAAAATCTGTAGTCAATCTATGTAAAATAGAACAATTTATAAACAAAAAATCTTTTCCTTTCTGTTGCTGAATAATTCCGCACATTGTTTGATATACCTGTAATATCAGATTCTCTTCATGGATTTGCAAGGCGTTGCAAGAAGACAAAGAAGAAAGAAAATAATGTATTACATAGAATTCAAATAAGTTTTGTAACTGAGTGAGATAAATTTTGGGGTCAATTAATGGCTTAATGCATTTGTTGAGACAGAAAAACTGATGTTAAGCATAACATATTCCTTTTAGCATTGTGTTCCTACCATGATCCCTGCTTTCCTGGCGTATGTAGCGACATGCTCAATTGCAGATGCACTCACGGATTTTCTGGGGAAGGAGGATTAGAAAGATGTAAAACATGTAAGGAAAACTATTTACTAGATTGTAAAATAACGTTATGGAGAAGAGAAATATTTTTTATAACTCTACAATGATTATGCCACCGAATTATGGGAAAAACTACAGAAAACCCTGCTCTTTTATCCGTCACCTCAATAATTTGACTTTATCACACCATAAGTGAAATAATTTTTGTTGCTGATCATCAAAGACACGCTGTTGTTTGATTACAGTTGATGCAAATAATATCCCAATCATTACAAAGTGTTCGTCAGTTCTTAGAAATATTGAAAGGACAGGTGAAAAGAGGGAAATGTATCAATATGTGACGGACTCGTCGGAGCCAAATTCTATGAAAACGGACATGCTTTGGCTAAATCAAAAAGACTTCAACTATGTTAATGTTGAAATCACTGCAATGTATGTACCACCCGATGAAATTTCAACACCTGCATACGTCAAGGACTTTGCATTTGGGATTGTTGCAGCATATTTGGAGATAGCTTTGTATAAAGTGCATAGAAGTAAGTGGATGGTCTGATTAAAAAAAACGATGCTGATTTGATCAGGCTCTTAAAAAGTTTCCTCTGTGTTTTCCAGATTCCTCTGACAAATTCTTTGTCAGTATAAATAGTACAACATATCCTTGCCAAAACCAGCCTGGGTCTCTCCGTCCAAACGAGGCTGTGTATTCTTGCAACATAATACATCATGACTTCGATCGTCTTTTGGAGGATGGCGATAAGTATGATGTTATATATTAATATTCTTTTTTTGGCAATTTGGAAAATACTTGTTTCATGCATTTTTTGGCATGAAAATACAATTTTATTTAAATTAGAATAAATATGAACAAGAGGCCCATGGGCCACATCGCTCACCTGAGCACTAAGGGTAGGAAAAAGTAGAAAATGGCTTTTTATTGTAAAGTTTAAGTCCAAAAGTAGTCCCATGACAAATCATGGATTTCCTATTTTTTAGAAAATGATTTTTAAAGAATTTTTACAATGTATATCTTTAAAAACTTTGGTCGGCCATTTTGGCCCCGCCCTACCCCTGGGGGTCATGATTTGAACAAACTTGAATCTACACGACATGAGCATGCTTCCATATATATATGATAAATTATGGCTTTGTCATTCTTGAAAAGATTTTTAAAGAATTTTCCTATATATTTGTATGTAAAACTTTGGTCGGCCAATTTGGCCCCGCCCTACCCCCGGGGGTCATGATTTGTATGAACTTGAATTTACACTATCTGAGCATGCTTCCATATAAACATGATGAATTATGGCTTTGTCATTCTTGAGAAGAAGGTTTTTAAAGAATTTTTCTATATATTTCTATGTAAAATTTTGGTCGGCCATTTTGGCCCCGCCCTACCCCCGGGGATAATGATCTAAATTTGAATCTACACTACCTGAGGATGTTTCCCCTTAAGTTTCATCTTTCCTGGCACAGTGGTTCTTGAGAAGAAGATTTTTAAAATATGCCACCAAATTTTCATTTATTCCCAATTATCTCCCCTTGAATGAGGGCGTGGCCCTTCATTTGAACAAGCTTGAATCCCCTTCACCCAAGGATACTTTGTGGCAAGTTTGGTTGAAATTGGCCCAGCGGTTCTTGAGAAGAAGTCGAAAATGTGAAAAGTTTACAGACAGACAGACGGACGCCGGACAAAATGTGATCAGATAAGCTCACTTGAGCTTTCAGCTCAGGTGAGCTAATAAAAAGTAAAACTTGTGTGCCATCTTTGTTATTTTTTTTATATTTTGTTTCACAGTTTAACATTGACTGCTATTGTACAAAATGGTGGATATCGTGCTTTAAAATCTACACCTTCCACAAACTATTTCGACCTTTTTAAGGGCCGTAACTCAAGCAAATCAATGATGTATAGATTCGATTTTCGGAAACCTCAACACTGTATACAGGATGCAAATAAGTGTTCGGTGAAAGCTTTCACTGTTCAGAATGATATTACTAAGGTAAACAAGCTATACCGTTTCCAAGTATTATTCACTTCCTGAGACGTAGGTATATATTAGAAATTTTGTAGTTGTTAAAATTTGAGACATTTAAAATTTGGTTAGTTTTTTTTTTATATGTTAACAGACCTTTTTAAAGACCAAACATTTGAAAAAACATTCATACATAAGAATTACATAGCTTGCTGAAGTGGAAAACCTATTGTCAAATTTATGTACGGCTATTATTCTTTCTCGTCGATTTAAGGACCCTATTCAAATTTCATGGGAAGGATGGACTGATGCTCTCTCCGGGATAGAGAAGTACATGATTGAGATATATCTTCTGAAACCAGACCAGAATTTTAATCCTAGTTTGACTGAACCAGATCCGTGGAGTCCATCCCATGTATTAACATTTAACACTTCAAAGAGAGGATGTACATACATTCCTCAAAAACAAGGAATGTTTTCCTTTATATTGAATGTCGTAGACAGAGCTAATAACTCGGAATACGCAAGGATGCTAGTACTTTATGACAACACATCATCAATAACTATAGACAATTCCTCACCCATGATTTCATCCAGTGCTGTTGCACAGACAAATTATCAATGGCAGAATAATTTGACCAACGATATATCAATCTCGTGGAAAGGACATTTCAAAAATACATTTCACGAAGATAATAACCTTCTCAGTCAGGTCGCTGATTTCAAACATTATGATCACGATAAAAAATTTCATAAGGTTGTCCTTAATGCATTCGACGACAACGATGGAGAAAGAACATTAAATGCTATACAAAATGTCCACGGAATCGTTAAATTCGAGTACGCATATGGTAACGCAAACCAAGGAAATCAGAACCCAATAAACTTTCAACCCGTAAATGACTTAACCCAAACATTATCTTTCTTTGCTCAAAGACGAAATGGAGATACATTAAACATATGGATCAGAGCTACTGATTCTATGGGCAATAGGGAAACCGATATTATGCATGTATATTTCGACGAAACACCGCCAACAGCCCTGTCAAGTCGCAATGTCCAATTCATACCTAATTTAAATAATTCTATGTACCCTTTTTCTAGCCGGTAAGTTTGCTTCTTTTGTTTTTTCTTATTTTAAAGTTTCTTTAAGAAGTTCTATTTTCCGAAATCGAACCCTGAGTATACTTTTTTGATGTTGCATGTCATAATATTATGTAATACAGAGGATGAATGGAAAGAGAAATTAAACTATGAATATAAGTGCAGCTTCCCATTCCCTTAAAATTGATATTTAACATTGATTTGAATAAAGATGTGTTCCTTACATTTCATATAAATATTGTTGTTTCATGAGTAAGTATTCCAAGAGACTATTCAATGTACAATAATCTCGCTCATCACAGTTTAATATTAGAACAAAACTGGGAAGAAAGTATCACTGCCAATAAAATATTACATGTAAACAGAAATCATTTTCAAAGCACTTCTGTCACAAAGTATAATTTTTGGGTGCACATACATGTAATGCATTTCCTGTGGTCTTTCTCTTGTTTTAACTTTTTGGTATCTATTAAACAATAAATTAAATTTACTAATTTCTTTTCTAATTTCTAATAATATGACACTTATTCTCAAAACAGAACATGCATTTACAATAAAGGTTTTGTTACTGTACATCTCAAAAACGTAGTTTTATGTTCACCTGAGACAGATGGGTTTTTTTTTATTATTTAACCGTTGTCTGTCGTCGGTGTAGTTGTCATCGTAAACTTCTCACATTTGCATCTTATCTACTTTGCCAATTTAACTAAACTGGGAACATAGTATCTTTAATTAAGGGGATTAAAGTTTGATCAAATGAAGGGTCACGCCTTCTTTCTGGGGGAAATTATAATTAATAAGTGAACAATTAAGGGACTCCGATCCTCAGCCAGGAAGGACAACTCTTTGATTAAGAATTTAATTTTAAAAAGTCTCAAAATGAGGCTTGAAGATTAATATTTTTCGTGCAACAATTTTCATTATATACATGTACCTCTCAATGTGCTTCAAGGTTCTTTGAAGTTCTCAGAAAGGTCCAATTAAAAGTCGAAATTTTTACCCCGTAAAAGCATTTTAAAATTATATATATAAAGAAATTGCTGTTCAATTTAATCTAGCCATAGATACCAATGTTTATCAACATGATATGAAATTAGAAGTGATTAATGGGACTTTGTAATGACAAGAGAATCTTTATACACTTTGCATTGTAAAAAACGAAGTGAATAAAAGAAGTTTAAGTACATTATATGTATAAAAATTATGGAAATTCTTCAAAAGCCTGGATACCTATGATTTTTTAAATGTGTAAATTGGAAAATGAAAGAATACATGGATATCTTTTTATCTATAACTTTATTTTAAATATTGAAGTGAATATCATCAAGTGTTTATTCATCAAATTTTACACATAGAAATGAGGTAAGCTGCATATTTTCAATCTTGCCATTTAATGTTCCGTGGTCTCAATGGCCGTTATTAGCCATGACTTATAAATATTTAATTCTATAAGTGTTTGTCCTATGAAATCTGACGTAAAGCGAATAGTAACAATTTTTTGAGATGCATAATATTTCAAAACATATTTGATGTTGCAGCTTACGAATCGATGCTAATGACAGGGAGAGTGGTATATTAAGAATTGATTGGCAATTCATATCCAATCACAGTAATACCATTTTCAAAAATGGATCAATACCTGGGAATAAAACTGAGGTAATTTAGCTTTAACTTTTAAAACTTCCTTCAAATTGGTGAACGTGTAGACGAAACGACAATGTAATTTTCATATTTCTTAGGTTCGCTCTTTTGAAAACAAACCTATTAAAATATGTATCATGTATTACATTGAAATTTTCTCATCCATACAGAATTTGCCACATTTTGGCGATGGATACAAGGTTCCAATGGGAGATTTTTTTCTGTACAGCCATTATCTTGATGTTAATAATTGTTGGATGGCTGTACCCAAGAAATCCTTTCATAATGACTTTCTTAAAATAGAAGTCAAAGTTTACAATAGAGCTATGGAATCGACGAGCTTTGAAATGACGGTAATCACTAACGATGTGCAACATGTACAACAGATTACAATTAAATATATTCGAGTAAAATGAATTTTTTCAGCTACTTAACATATTCATTTTAAAAGTTTCTGACCTAAAATAATTATGTAACTTTTTCCCTAATTAATGTGACTTGTTTGCTTCTTTGATCTAGCTGATATATTTAGCTATAGACTCTTTGCATGGAATCGATGAATGTAAGTAAAATAACAAATATATTTTAACTTTCCTGGGATCATTTCGACTTATGAAGATAAATCATTGAAAATGCAATTCTAAATTTTTTTAATTGAAGCAATTTCCTTAAACATTTTTATTAGCTCACCTGAGCCGAAGGCTCTAGTGAGCATTTCTGATCAAAATTGTCCGTTGTCTATCGTTATCGTTCGCGTTGTCGTTGTCGTCTCGCTAACTTTTCACATTTTCGACTTCTTCTCGAGAACCACTGGGCCAATATCAATCAAACTTGGCAAAAAGTATCCTTAGGTATTATTCAAATGAAGGGCAACGCCCTTATTCAAGGGGAGATAATTAAAAAAAAAATAGGTGGTAAGCTTTAAAGCTGTTCCAGGAAAAATGAAACTTATATGGAAGCACCCTCAGGTAGTGTAGATTCAAGTTTGTTCAAATCAGGGATAGAGCGGGGCCACAATGGCCGATCAAATTTTTACATAGATATATCCATGGATATATATAGGAAAATTCTATAAAATTCTTCTTTTCAAGAATCACTGTTCCAGAAAAAAAGAAACTTATATTGAAGCTTCCTCGGGTAGTGTAGATTCAAGTTTGTTCAAATCACGACCCCCAGGGGTTAGGCGGGGCCACAATGGCCAATCAAAATTTTACATAGAAATATACATGTATAGGGAAATTCTTTAAAATCTTCTTCTCAAGAATAGCAAAGGCAAGAATGATCAAATTTATTTGGAAGCATACTCAGGTAGAGGAGATTCAAGTGTGTTTAAATCATGACCCCTTGGGGAAGGGGGGGGGCTTCAATGGCCGATCAAATTTTTACAGTGCAATATATAGGAAAATTCTTTAAAAATCTTCTTCTCAAGAATAGCAAAGGCATGATTGATCATATTTAAGAGGGTTGTCCAAAAAGTTCGTGGACAATGACGTTTTTGTTAAAATAAATGGTTCTATATAATACTATTGTATATTGAAATATTTCGTATAAAAAACCAAGTCAGAATGATGTAATTTTTATTGATGGAACTTAATATTTTTGTAAAAATTGGGGTCTTTAACGATTGCAGATGGTAAGCACGGACCAGGTTAAAATGCCATAAACTCTAACAAAAAGTTTTCAGATTGAAATGATTAATATTCTTGCTGGAACTTGGAAGTGTGATGCCATAAAAAATGTAATGTGGTGAATGAACATGTGTTAAAATTCAAATGTTATACGACGTTATAAGGGAATTAGCTTAACGCCAGACTGGGCCGTGCGCACTATCTGCAACTAATAAAGACTCCGATTTTTACAAAAATATTTAGCTTCATCAATAAAAATTCAATTTTCTGACTTGGTTTTTCATACAACATATTTTGATATACAAAAGAAATATATTAAACTATTAATTTTGACAAAAAACGTTATTGTCCACGAACTTTTTGGAAAACCCTCGTATATAGAAGGATCCTCATGTAGTAGAAATTCAGGTTTGTTCAAATTATGACTCCTGGGTTAGGGTAGGGTAGGGTAGGGTAGGGCAGCAATGGCTGATCAAAGTTTTACATATAAATATATATATTAAAAAAATTAAATCATCAAGAATAGCAAAGCCATGATAATTCATATTTATATGGAAGCATCCTCAGGTAGTGTAGATTCAAGTTTGTTCAAATCATGACCCCTTGGGGTAGGGCAGGGCCACAACATGGATTTAAAATTTTTCATAGAAACATGTAGAAAAAAATCGTTATAAATCTTCTTTTCAAGAACGAGAAAGCCATGATTTATCATATTCATATTGAAACATTCTCAGTTAGTGTAAATTCAAGTTTGTTCAAGTAATGACCCTGGGGGAAGGGCCACAATGTTAGTTAAAATGTAAGGGGCAATAAATCCATAGGGTGTCAAAAATATGAAAGCATCCTTAGTAACTGTAGATGCAAGTTTGTTTTAATCATACCCTCTCCCCTTTAAGGATTGGCTAAGACCACTATTGGGTTTAAACTTATCAATAATAAACTGATTTGTGCTTTTTGCCGAGCCACATTGCTCAGGTGAGCGATATGGCCCATCTGCCTCTTGTGTTTATTTAGATTCTGGACTAATAAATCTTCATGTTGATAAAAAGGACGATACTAGTGTGCGTCTGCGGTGGACTTTGTCCCCTACTTGCTATGAAAGAACCAGGATAAGTCTATCTGCTATTTCAGAAAATGGAGAACGGTTTTCTCGTGTTGTTGACAAGGATGCCGATCACTTTGATCTTACAGGACTTGTGTCCGAAACAACGTACAATTTGTCTTTTGTAACAGAATATGGAGACGAGAAAAGCAATCCAGTATTTTTAGTTTTCAGAACATCGTTAATAAACATAGCTCCTTCTCTGACTGATGCTGAAATTGCAGGGATATCCATAACGACAGGTTTTTAATATTAACTTTAATGCCTGGGTGTTTGCATTACATTTCTTAGGTACTATTTAAGGACGTTCGATCCTGATATTTTGAGCGGATTTTGGTCCTGTCCTTTATTCATAAAATTCTGCATCGTTTTTAAGGTCTAACATTAAATATGAATTCAACAGTGCAAATTTAAGTATATTCATGAAAAAAACCGCTATTAAATTCCACTCAAGTAGAATTAAGCTCGGGACTATTTTTTGTGGCGGAAGGTTTTTTAGATTGATTGATTGATTGTATATTGTTTAACGTCCCTCTTGAGAATTTTTCACTCATATGGAGACGTCACCGATGCCGGTGAAGGGCTTCAAATTTAGACCTATACTCGGCACTCAGGGCCATTGAGCAGTGAGGGTTCTTTATCGTGCCAACGCCTACCGTGACACGGGACCTACGTTTATAAGGTCATATCCGAAAGACCCGTGACTTTCACTTCTAGTGCCGAGCGCTTGGCGAAGGAACAGTCACTACCTTTGTTTGCGTCTTAGGTATGACGCGGCGCCGCGATCGAGAATCGAACCCGGGCCTCCCGATCACGAAGCGAACGCTCTACCACTAGGCTACCGTGACCGGTAGGAAGGTTTTTTAGACGAAAATGATCATTTTTTTTTTATCTTGAACTATAACAGTACTGTTAATTTTGGATTCATATTTTTCAATCCTGGTTGCACACAAAGCTGTTTTTGCAGTGAAATGTGTTATGCTGGTTCTGAAATATCTATTAAATTATTTTTTATGAATTCTATCAACAAAGTGTGACAAATAAAGTAAATATATTCTGAAAATCCAGGAAAAAATTAAGCCAATTTTATCCTAAAATTGACACATTTTTTAGTATTATCTAAAAATTTACATCATATACCCCCACATTTGATGCCCTTTTCTATATATTCAAGATAAATTTGACCTATCTGCTTAAAATCAGAAAAAGTTTAAGACTTTAAAATAATTTTCTTGCTTATTAAATTTTCAATGCCAGAAAAATAACTTTTTATTAGTGCAGAAAGGTCAAATAATTGATTATTTGAAACTTTTTCTTAGTCACAATTTTTAAGTGTCTTTTTTTAAACAAACTTAGAGTTCATTTTGTTTCATGCTTTAATTGGATAAAAATATTGGAGGGAAAACGTCAAAAATTTAATTTTTAATGAAGACACATTTTCAGTGGGAAGAGGTCATATTAAATGTACTGTAGTGCCAAAAGAAGCGTATTGACCTCCATATTTTGATTTGAATTTTAATTAGGCTATGTATGTAGAAACTAAAAATATACTTGGCAAAAAAAGTTTAAGACTTGAAATATCAGGATCCGAACGTCGTTAAATGTAGTATGAAAAGTTTTGCATTTTAGTGATTTGTTCCTTGTTTGAATTAAAAATCAAAAAAATAGGGATACTTTAATGAGTAATTTTTTTCTCCCCTTTTCGATGAATGTAAGATAATACTCCTTAAAGATGACAAGACTAGGACCTTCACTAAAGCTACTTGAAACTGATTACATGATGAGCGAAGCCAGGATCACCAATATTAATACAGAAGCATTTTCAAGATATAGAGACTTAATTAAGTTTGTTCAAAGCATGGCCCATGAAGGTAGGATGCAGCGACATTAATACAAGGGATAAATAGTATATATGAGAAATTTAGGAAGAATATTTAATTCAAGCTTATTAAGGTCTTTCGTTTCAGACGGAAGACCTTATGGTGATTCTACTGTTTCTTTTTATTATTTTTTTTCCCCTTTTGAAATTTCTTTTTGTGACAATTTCTCAGAGATGACTGGACGATTTCTCAGAGATGACTGGACAGATTCTCATGAAATTTTCAGGGATGATAGAGAGTGAAAATATCTTTCAAATGTTGTTTTCAGTTTTTCAAAATTCACTTCCGGTCGTCAAATATGTCCGATTTCCGTTTTTCCAAAAGTGATCATGTCCGGACGATATATCAGGAACGATAACAGATTAAGACATAAAACTTTCAGGAATAATAGACCATGAAGAGTAAATTTGTGCAATATGTTTAAATCCCCCGTCACTTCCGGTCGTCACAGGAAGTGATCTAAGTAATCGAAAATTTTTACTTTTTCTTTTATGAAACTTTTTTGCACCACATTATAGTATCTTATTTGTACTTTCAAAATATGTCAGTCCCATCGGAAACAAAAACGACAATTTCCAGTTATAAGAGAAAAACTGCATATTTTGAGTATTTTTCTTTCCCAAAAATATTTTTTATAGATAAAGTATTTGTAATGATTTTTGAATATGTTATTCAGACCGCAAATGTCTACAGTAACGTCAAATATCTTTGTAAAATTCACTTCCGGTCGCGTGATTTCCTGTCCTCAAAATGAGAAGTTATCATGGCTACATCTCGTAAACGGTAAGAGATTAAGCCACAAAACTTAAAGTAGTGATAGATCTTGATGAGTAGGCAAATCAGTTGTGCTAAGATCGTCTGCCGTCACTTCCGGTCGTCACAAGAAGAAAACCAAAAAAAGGGAAAATTTCCATTTTTCGTTTATGAAACTGTTTTTGGCATCACGTTATCGCATCTAAATTGTATTTTGAAATATTTCAGTACCACCGGAAACAAAAAACGGCAATTTCCGGTTAAAAGAGAAAAAACTGCATATTTTGAGTATTTTTCTTTCTTATAAATATTTTTTATTTATAAAGTATTTGTAATGATTTTCAGATATGTTATTCAGACTGCAAATGTCTACAGTAACGTCAAATATCTTTGTAAAATTCACTTCCGGTTGCATGATTTCTTTTCCTCAAAATCAGAAGTTATCATAGCTAGATCTCGTAAACGGTAAGAGATTAAGACACAAAACTTATAGGAGTGATAGATCTTGGTGAGTAGGCAAATCCATTTTGGTTAACATTGTCCGCCATCACTTCCGGTTTCACATGAAGTGTTAAAATAAATTTTAAAAATTCAACTTTTCTTATGGAATCTTTCTTAATAAGACATTATATTATCTTATTTGTAGTTTTGAAATATGTCAGTCCCACTGGAAACAAAAAAAAAAAAAGAAACAACTTCCGGTTATGAAAGAAAAACTGCATGAATTTAGTATCATACTATCCAATAAATAATTATTTTTATAAAAAGAGCATTTGAAATGATTTTAGGATTTGTTATTCAGACTGAAATGTCTAGAGTTACCTCAAATATCTTTCCAAAAATTTACTTCCTCAAAATGAGAAGATAATATAACGAGATCTTTTAAACTGTAACAGATCAAGACACTAAACTTATATGAATACTAAACCATGAAGACTGGCCAACAAATATAGGGTAAAATACGTCCGCCGTAACTTCCGGTCGTCACAGAAAGTAAAAAAAAAATTAAAAATAATTTTTGTACATGTTATTAAGACTATAACTGTCTAAAGTAAAGTAAAGAAACTTGGTAAATTATACCTCCGGCCGTTTGTTTTGTTGAAATCATTTGAAATATTATATGCCTTTTTTAACATATAGAAGCTCATTAATGAAGATAAATAGAGGAGAACGGAAGACCTTTTTTGTTGCTATAGTGGAAGACTGTCAATTCAGAGCAGTGAAGGATCTTTTTTGGAACTTTGATTGGTTTATACGGTGGAAGGAGGGAGTCCTAGTTTTTATGATGCGCCACTAGTTACAGTAACCCAAAGAAAATTGAAGTTATTGTAATATAAAGCTGATATATGCAAGTTTCCAAGATAACAAGAAAAAAACCTTATGAAATCTACGCAGAATTTCAATAGTGTAAGTTGAGCGTTTCAAGTGCTGCTTACGTATTTAAAGTTGATACGCTGCAAGTTCTGCATTACAGGAACATGAAATGTAGAAACAAGACTGTGTTTGTGAAACATTGATGTCCCCGTATGGCAGCTAATGGCGAGGTCGAATTCTTTTAAATGCATGTCAAACTCCAAAGGTCAAGGTCAAAATTCAAAAGTGTTGGTACCCAAAGGAAGGTCTTGTTACAAGGAATACACCTGTAAAATATGAAAGCCCTAGTTCTAACTGTTCAAAAGTTATGACCAAAGTTAAAGTTTTTAAAAAGTAGTTCAAACTCTTAGGTCAAGGTCAAAAATATTAATACCAGCTAAAAGGTCTTTTCACAATATATACACATGTGAAGTATGAAAGCCCTAGCTACAACTGTTTACAAGTTATTGTCAAGGTTAAAGTGGGGTATTTTCATGTAAAAGTAGGGAAAAAAACTCCCAGGTCAAATTTGGTGGTACCCAAAGAAAGGCCTTGTCACATGGAATACACCCACGAAATATGAAAGCCATAGCCCCCCACTCAATAGTGTGGACTAGGTTAAAGTTGACAACAGACAAACAGACAGACGGGACAAAAACAATATACCTCCGGGATCTTTCGATCAGGGGGCATGAAAAATAATATTTAGATTATACAAGTATTGGTGATAGCTTAAGGTACTCCGATCCTCAGTCAGGAATGATAACTCTTTAATTATAATTTAATTCAAAAAGTCTCAAAATGGAGCTTGAAAATTTAATCTTTTCGTGCAACAATTTTCATTTTATACCTCACATTGTGCTTGAAGGTTCTTTGAAGATCTCAGAAAAGTCTTATAAAAAGTCGAAAATTTTACCCCATAAAAGTATTTTAAAATTACATATTTAAAGAAATTGAGGTTCATTTAATCCAACCATAGATACCAATGTTTATTAACATGATATGAAATTAGAAGTGATTTACGGTGATCGAAGTATATAGAAGAAAAAAACTATAAGTTTATGTATAAAAAAAATTGTGTAATTTCTTCAAAAGCCTGGACACGTAGGATTTTTATTATTAAAATGTGTTTGTTGATTAAATTTGAATTAGAAAATGCATAGTAAGTGTTTTTATTCGCATTTCTTAAAAAAAAATATTCGAGATTTTCTTATTTACCCTATATAAAATAACTAACTTTAAAGATTAAGTTTGAAGAATCATCGTGCGTATAAAAAAAAACGTTACTTTAAGAATTCAGAGACATTTTATGAGCATTTTCAATTAGTCAATGCTTGATTTTCGGAACCTGAGGATCGGAGTACCTTAATACTAAGTATATAAAATATCATTCAGGAATTTGTCGTTATAATTGATTTGTATATAATACAGTGGTCAAACTTCCTTAATACGGATGTCCTTGTTTTTCATTTATTTATAGATACACCTACATGTACATTTTTCTTTCTTGTAGATCATGATTATAAAATTTGGATTATAAAAATTTATAATTATATGAAATCTATGCTACTTTCATTTATGAATTTGATTTTTGGGACTGAAATAATGTAACATATTGTATTGTAAATACCCGGATTTCATAGCCTTAGGTAACATACAAACCTACCCAAGCATCTCAATATAAATATTTTTGTAGAAACTCTCATATTTGGTTTCATGAACAACAAAATAAGCTGGTGTAGCCTTACATTACAAGTAGGACAGGAGGCAGTAGTTATAATTTTAAACTTCATCGATGAAAAGAGGAACTTCGTTATTGAAAATTTTGAGAAAGACGAATTTAAAATGGAATTTTCCATTTTATCGATCACAGCATACCAACACTGTTGTCGGTCCGGAGAAAGATCGGGGACTTCTGCCAGATCAGGAGGTCTTGCCTAGGACCTTGGACTTCGACGATGCCGTGAAAGCTTGCCAATCGCAGACGACTTGGGAACTATTGAGGGCTCTTCTTATTTTCAAAGTCTGTTCGTTTGAGAAATTCGTCGAAAATAATTACAAGGTAAGTTTAAAGAGACATATTAAAGTTATGTAACTAAATGAAAGATTATATAACACACATGTTAAATTTAAGAATTAATTATTAATTTTCTTTCATAATGTAAGTATAACGAAAAAAAAACAAGTTTGTGAAACTTATGACAAAGTTATGGCCAAGGTTACAGTTTTTCAAAAGAAGGCCAAACTCCAAGGCCAAAAGGTCAATTTGTTGGTATCCAAAATAGGTCTTGTCACAATAAATATGCCTCTTAAATATGAAGGTCTTTGAAATATGAACTCTTTGAAAGTTATCCGCTCTAAGGTTAAAGTTTTTTTTAGAAGTGGGTCAACACAAGGCCCAAGGTCAAAAATACTTGTATCCATGGAGAAGGTTTGATATAAGAATTACACATGTGAAGTACGAAAGCCTTCGCATCAACTGATCAAAAGTTATGGCCAGGGGTAAAAGTTTGGTAAATTTGACCCACTTTTGCATTATCAAACTTGTACCTTTTAACTTGGCCATGACTTTTGAACGTCGAGTTTTAGGGTTTTCATATTTCACAAATGTATTCCTTGTGACAAGTCCTTCATCTAATACTAAGAATTTTGAAACTATGACGTGGACTTTGTAGTCTGACCTACTTTTGTGCTAACTTTTGAACAGTTTGTTCAAGCGTTTTCAAATATCTCATTTGTATTCCTTCTTTGGGTATTAACAATTATGACCCTTTGTTTTTTTTCTCACTCTCTTGACCTTGGAGTTTGACTTTCTTTTGAAAAAAAAAACTTTCTCCATATTTAAAGTTGTCATTCGGGGCCATCATTGTTTCACAAACACATGTTTTTACTACAGATTTTGTCATGGAGCCGTCGTCTTATGGGTCGACCTCTATTCAACGCGATGATGCGTCCGACAATCTATAAACAATTTGTGGGAGGCGATGACGTCACATCTTTCCAGGCAACTGTTGATCGTCTGCAAGCGGCAGGAATGGGGCCGCTCGTCATGGTGACGCTGGAAGAAGACGTTAAAGACGACGGACCGTAAGGAGAGAGAGAAAGAGAGGAATTCGTGGAAAATCGACATTATAAAGTGTTAAAACTGCATTATAAAATGTCTTGTTTATGGAGATTTCTAATTTATTTGATGTGCATATTTTCATAAAAGTTCAGTCCAAGCATGGCAAAATTACTGACTTCTATGACAATTTAGGGACTAAGTGAACTCTTTGATTTACTTTGATTTTGCAGAGATGCTGATCAGCTTTTTGACAGAAATTTGAAGATAATGGTCGACTGTATAGAAATGACGTCAAAACTTGGGAGCCAGAATCCAATGATGCAAATCAAACCGTCTGGATTGTTCCCTCTCCATCTCTGTGTACGTATTATCATTTTACATTTAGCTTATGGAGTTCATTAACCCCATTTTCTTAAATAACTTAAAATGATTCTTTTATGAAGAAACCCTAGTACATCGACACGAGTCAGTCAGATTCAAATTTTACTCCTCATGTGTATGAGGGTAAAAGAGATATACACTAAAACAAAATTATGCAAATGAAATTACCTTAAGCAAGCTATGTTTTTTTTTATTTTTTAACCTTTTAATTTTTGACAAAATTGCAAAACAGAGAATGATTTCGACTGAAGTTCCATACCCCAACAAGAAACCCGAAGTGGTAGAGAAAGTAGCGAACGCTATGCAGACATCGAAAGAGGTGGGAAATATTATTCTGACATTTCTAATGATGCTCGAGTAAATTCTCTGAAATATCCTAAAGCATCTTTCTGTGAAAATGGATAATCATTAAGACGACCAATGATTACAATAAAATCTTTTCTTTCAGATAACAGAGCTGGGGAACCTGTCGTCTATAGAAATTGCACAGCTGAACAAAGCGTTACAGAGGTTGAAACATATTTGCAAGGTAACATAGATTTTTGTGGTATAAAACGACTTATTTTGACAAACATAAAACCAAAAATAAATAAATAAAATATAAATGAACTTATAATTTTTATAATAGGTTGCTATGGAGAAAAACGTGATCATAATGGTGGATGCAGAGTACACTTATTTGAATCCATGTCTTAATTTATTAGCCCTGGCCATGATGCTGAACAGCAACAATTCCGCTCCACTTGTATTCTATACCTACCAAAATTACCTCAAGGTCAGTAGACTTTTGAATTTGTTTCTTAAAATACTTTTTTCTTTGAAGAATATGTCACAAAGTTTTCTCTGTAGGAAACTCCAGATATTCTGTCAAAAGACAAGGCATTTGTTAAAGCACATGGGGTATCCTTTGGTTCCAAACTTGTGCGAGGTGCCTACCTGTACAAAGAAAGGTCGCTGGCAAAGGAGAAAGGCTACCCTGATCCTGTCTGCGAAACATTCGAAAAGACAACCGAAAATTACAATCGCTCTATGGACATTATGTTGAATAACATAGCGAAGTATCCAGGAAAATTTAGCACAATAATTGCCTCGCACAACGAGGATACCATTAAAAGAGGAATATCCAAGTGAGTTGGTGAACCCCATATTTAATTTGTATTCTTTTCTTTAAGAGACAAATTAAATAAAGCTTAAGAGCAGTGGTCTCATAAAAATATGAGTTATGCCCTGATACAGTAATATTTTCGTTAGACATCAAATAGTATGAAACATTTAAGGTTGACCAGATGTTTACGCTGTTTGAATATGGTTGAATAAGGATATTTTGCAAGTGTGTATTATGTCTAGGAATATAATGGAAAGATGGAGTTATCTGGTACCAAAGTTTTCTCTTAAAATCCTATTGGGGCAGATGAAATTAACAACAAATCAAGCAGAGATACACATATACATCTACATTTGTTTTTAATGATATTTCAGACTGAATGAACTGGGAATTCCTCGAAGAGGCACAGAGCAAAAGGTTTTCTTTGGTCAACTCTATGGAATGTCTGACTTTATTTCACAATCTTTAGGTAACAAAAAAAAAGTGGACAACACAAAACATTAAAAACTGTTTATGATGTCTTTAATTCCATTGTTCAGATAAAATGGAAAAATAATATTGTTGAAGCAATTTTGAGGTAAATTGCAATTATGATGTGTAAAAAGCTTTGCAAAATAAGTCTTGTTAACGTTGCTATGTAATAAAAATATTATATTATATAATATTATATATGTTATTTGATAAAAATCGCGATTAATGTCAAAAGTATTGTGAATGATACCAAAAACTTTTAATTTACATTAAGTTTTGATTAATCACAAAATTTTACTTTAAACCACAAGGTTCATCAAATATATCACAAGGTCTGTATTGTATTGCAACGTTTAATATACTATATTATGATAGGCAATTTCTCCTTGAATTTAACGTAAACAGAATTATTTTCGTTTGATTACAAATATCTTGCATTGTTTCAGGTCAGGCTGGCTATATGATTCACAAGTCCATTCCTTATGGCACTATCGATGAAGCTCTTCCTTACCTGTCCAGACGAGTCGGTGAAAATAGTTCCATATTTGGTGGTATCAGACGAGAGCGCAAAATCATCCGCCGAGCCCTTGCTGACCGGTTAAATTTACGCTAGTAACGGTACAGGGATCATTAACAGAAGTTTTTCATGGTTGAATATTATCTAAAATTTTATTTTAAAATATGAACAAGCATCGATAACTCCTAAATATGTACATATTTTAAAATTTTAAATCGAATTATGTGTATTTTTAATAATGTATTTTAATCTTTTAAATTATATGATTCTTTGATTATACACGCCTTTGAAATCTATTGTAAACATCTATATGTAAATAAAACTCCAGAATGATTTTTTTGGGTTTTTTTTTTAGCAACATAATTATACTAAAGTAATCAATGGTTTCCTGGACTTGATCATTTTATCACGCACGAAAACTCTTTCCTTGAAAGAGTCAAAACCATGAGATTTACAGTGTTTCTGAACTTCCATCAAAATTAAAAGCTCCCTTTACCGCCGATAAATGGCATAAATATCATCGAATTTATTAGGGGGAAGTAGTACACACAATTATTAATCGTTTATACTTTCTTTTTGCAGCCGTTGTTGCATATGTTTACTATTGCATGCAACTATAATTGAATTTACCCGGTTCGCAAATTGCAATTTTCAATTTAGATACTGTGATGTAAAATGCATCAGATTATTTTCAGCATGTTAATGGATCTTTAGTTTCATGAAATTAAGAAAGACATACCAGAAATTATTTTTGCATTGTAAAGGTGTGTGATTTCTGTACAGTGCAAGTATTTATAATTCAGTGGTAAATATTATGCTGTATATTGCACACAATAGAACAATTAAAATTGAAAAGATCAGGTTTCGCTATACACATATAATATACTTCTTTCTGTGTTAAACAACTGGATTTCTAGTAGATGCTACAGATATCGTGTGCCAATTTCATATTATTAGTAAGTGGTTTCATTCTTCTTGTAGAACTGGCCCCTTTTAAAGATCGTTTCCATTATGTTGTGCTGCAAAGATGTTAACTGTACTAAAAGGGAGAAGGTTGGGGAGAAAAAGAAATGCGTTTGGGATAAACGAAATCTGTAGATATTGAATACAATTATCAAGTTCAAAAGTCTATTGAAACAATAAAAATGGGAATGAAAGCAAACACGGACATCCAAAAGCATCAGAGGTGAGATCAGGTATCATGGAGGAGAAAACATCCCTTTTTTGACCGGCCAAACCCGCCACAAAGTTAAAGCAAGAGAGGGAACCAACCCCACTCATGTTTCCAGTGGGGCCCAAATTTATATTTATTTTGAAAAATACAATAGTTTTGATAAGTCTCTTATAATTACTATCTTTTCACTTAATTTACTATCAATTTCTTATTCTTTCATGCATCTACCTTCCATAGGAGAATTAAGATGTATTCGTATGAAATTTTACTCTGGAAACTGATCTTGTTAATTACCCTTTTTAAAGCCCTTTACATGTAACTTCAAAATATTCCCTTTTGTAATAAATAGTTGTTTTTTTTTTTATTTTCCATTTTTTAAATAGACCTAGATTTGAAAAAAAAAACACATTTGTATAAAAAAATATCCAAACGTTTATTTTCCCTATTTTGACCTCAGATTATACGCATACCTTGTGTATTCCTTTTCTTTTATTTGACACCTGGTGTGTTCTTATACTCTTGAGATTATTTGGACTGTAAGTCTATTGTATATTGCCAAAAACCTTTTTTAAAATTTAAAGAAATGGAGTAGATATACCTTAAGTGTTGTGTGACCCTGAAGTATCTTTATCCATGATTTTACTGTTTGTAGACCTGTAAAAATATGAAAATCAAATTTCAAATGATTTTCATGCTCGTTCAAGAAGCATTGTATGCATAACCAAGACACCGTTTTGAACAGTTGAGATATTTAGCGAATGTCTTTTCAGCGTTCTAAACTTTTAGTTTACTTGACTATATAACCTACGTTTTTCCTGAGAGATATCACAATCGTTTCTGTCATTTGATAGCAAAACAGTTTATGTCCGTAGGAATTTTCATTTCTGACCCAAATGTGAATCAAGTTACAACAGAATCACTATTTTTTGACGTTGCCGGAAATGGGAAAAGGGGATGGCGGGTGTCAGTCAGTCGTCCATGTCTTTGTTTATTTTCGAAAAACATGTGAGCCATACATATATTTGAAAATAATGACCTACCTTATATCTATAAAAAAGAAATACAGTAAACAAACCACTTTTTTTGAAAGAGTCAATTGTTATTTTTTCCTGCAGTATTCTTGAGTTAAAGTGCAGCTACAGTGGCAGGAATCTGTCATGTAAGATGGATAAAAAAAATCTACTTCACAGTTCAGTTTACTGCTGATACTTGAAATTGTTGGCCATAGGATGACATTTGGATCTATTACAAATTACCCAAGCGTCCCAAACAAAATATTTATATACAGCTCTTGTTCTGGGTATCAGAAACACGAATATGATCTGCTCTATACTGACACTAGCATGATAAACATAATACCTTTTTACTTAAACTTTCAACTTCAGCAATGTTAAGTAGAATTTCGGTGCTGAAAAGTCTCAGAGAAGGGAATTTAAAGTGGTGTTTTCCTTTTTGTCAATCTCAACACACTATAGCCGATCCTCGAAAGGACCATGCATCAGTTCCAGAAAATACTGCGCAGCAGCAGCAACTGCTAGAGTTTGAAGATGCCGTCAAAGCTTGCCAATCACAGACAAGCTGGGAACTTCTGAGAGCGCTCCTTATTTTCAATGTTTGTTCAGTTGAGAAATTCGTTAAAAACAATTACAAGGTAAGAGGGTGTATGTTTTATTAGAAGACTTATTGTGTAGTAAAATTGGAATTTTCACCAACAACTTTGCGTCTTAATTTATCTTGTTTTAAAAAAAAAATTTTGATTTTAGTATTTTTTTAATCAATATACCATGACTTGTATCTTTACAAACATAGAAAATTTGTTAAGTGTGGTTTCGATTAGATATTTTGTCATATTACAGAGTGGATATGTGAATCTAAACAAATACACAAGACAATTTAATTGACAATATACAAATGTACACTTCAAGCATAATTCATCTGATGAATTTTGCCTGAGTGTCAAAGAAAATAGCCAACAGAAAACTTTCTGAACATTCAAATGAACTGCTTTAGAAATGGTAAAATTTCCTCGTACATTCACCACCCCTTTTATAGTATCGGATAAGACCGAGCTGAAACTTGCAACTTTGTCTTGTTTTGTTAAATCTTGACTTAACAATATATGAGACTCATTGACGATCATGAACTAAACGCTCTTATAATAACAAAATTATTATAAGTAAAGAAAATAGATTTATGCTGCACAGGATCCATTTGTCATTTTGAAATACTACAATAAAGGGGATTTTTGATGATGATATTAATGGTGAAATGAAATACAGGATATAGCATCTATAGAAATTCGTTTCAAAATAAACATTTGACAACGAAACATATTATTTTCAAATCAATTTTAGTAATTTTATATTTAATTCGATTAAGATTCTCTCATGGAGTCGCCGACTAATGGGCAGACCTTTATTCAATATGATCATGCGTCCTACCTTCTACAGACAATTTGTTGGAGGCCATGACTTGGCATCCCTCCAAACAACCGTAGATCGTCTGCAAGCTGCAGGGATTGGACCATTCGTCATGGTGGCGCTAGAGGAAGACGTGAAAGACGATGGAGCGTACGAGAAAGAGTTTTTTCTTTTACAATTATCGTTTTCTAGCTGAAATTTAGTAATATCTTTATTACTGTATACCGATCATGAATAAATTCCAAGAAATATGAATTTTATATTAATTTTTTAGTAATATTATTTTAGAGATGATATTATTTAATAGTTTGATTTTATTAAATTATTAATTAAATGTTATAAAGGAGCGTGTTTTACAGAGATGCTGATCAGATATTTGACAAAAATCTGAAGATAATGCTGGACTGTTTGGAAATGACGTCAAAACTGGGGAGCCAGAATCCCATGATGCACATCAAAACTTCCGGATTGTTCCCTCTCGATCTTTGCGTTTGTATTGAAATAATTTTTTCTTTTCAAACTTTTTCATCATATCTATCTACATGAAATATCTATCCAGGATTTTTTAAATGTATGCTTTTTTATAATGGAGTGAATCCAATGCTTTCTTTCTTAATTTTTGTAAACTAGAAATTACATTTTTTTTCCTTTTTTACTAAATGACAATACAGAAAGCGATTTCATTGGAAATTCCACGTCCAAATGCTCAACAAAACATAGTGGAGAAAATTGCGAACTCGATGCACACATCCAATGAGGTAGGAGATAAATGCTCATACAAGCTTTTTCCAATAGGTAATTCCAAAGAAATCATTTATGTTTGGAAAACTTTCTCACATGACATATTTGGGAAAAAGTTCATTCTTTTGCAGATAACAGAGCTGGGTAACTTGAAATCCGTAGAACTCCAACAATTGAACAAAGCGTTATACAGAATGAAACAGATTTGTGAGGTAATGTACTTAATGTAAAATATATTAAAAGGAAGGGCAATATTCATACAATCTTTTTTATAAATTAAAGGTTGCTAAGGAGAAAAACGTAATAGTTATGGTGGATGCAGAGTACACTTACCTGAACCCGTGTTTAAATTTATTGACTCTGGCCATGATGATGAACAGCAACGGTTCCGCCCCACTTGTGTTTTATACCTACCAAAATTACCTCAAGGTCAGTTTTCTTTTACTTGTTTGTCTTAAAATATATATTTTGCTGTGAAGAAATTGTCACAAAGATTACTCCAAAGTAAACTCTAGATATTCTGTCGAAAAACACCGCATTTGTTCAAGCGCATGGCATATCCTTGGTTCCAAACTTCTTTGACATTTAAGGTCATACAATTAGCTACATTACAAAAAACTTGTTTCAATTTATTCACTACAGGAAACTCCAAGTATTCTCGCAAAAGACATCGCATTAATGCAGGCACATGGTATATCCTTTGGTGCTAAACTTGTGCGGGGTGCCTATTTACACAAAGAAAGGTCGCTGGCAAAAGAGAAAGGCTACCCTGATCCTGTTTGCGAAACTTTCGAGAAAACGTCAGCAAATTATTATCGTTCTATGGACATTATGTTGGATAACATCGCAAAACATCCTGGAAAATTCAGCACGATAATTGCTTCACACAACGAAGCCACTATTAAGAGAGCAATATACAGGTAAAAGTGCAGATTATTCAAAGAGCTGAACTGTTGCGTTTTCCATGACAGCGCTCTAAATATGGCTTTCGGTACAGATATTAAATTTTGAAATGTTTCCCAAAACTACTTCCTAAGTTGTCTAACACTGTGTCCTCGATGCTTATACAAAACTTTTTAATGAATAAAACCGTGTTTCAGAATGACAGATTTAGGAATATCACGAAGAAGTAAGGAACAGAAGGTTTTCTTCGGTCAGACTTATGGAATGTCCGACTTCATATCCCTGTCTTTGGGTAAACATAATTATAATTTCATCGACATTTGGGAAATACATGTAATAAGATTTCATACATCCAATGATTGTTGTATGTTAATTACAAAAACAAAGGTTGCATTGATCATCAAGTCTTCCTTGATTTTAAGTCAAAGTATCAAAGGTTATGTTTGAAACTTAGATACAAAACCCTTTTTTCTTTCTCATCAGGTCAGACTGGCTATATGATCCATAAATCAATACCTTATGGTACTGTTGATGAAGTTCTTCCATATTTGTCCAGAAGAGTTAATGAAAATAGTTCCATTTTCGGTGGAATGAGAAGAGAACGCAGTATCATCCGAAGAGCCCTTGCAGATCGTGTACTGTCAAAAACTTAAATTCGTTGTGACCAACTTCGAAGGAAGGGCAGATCGTTTACTGATACTAACTTAAAAACAGTGGTGATCAATTAATTAGCAATGCCTTTTATCGTATTAATTCATTTATTCTTTGAAAATTAACCTTTGAATTTTTATTAACTATTACTATGAGTTTGTATTTTCTTTCTATACAGTACTGTTGAAACTATAATGTTATATGCTTTTCACTCACTTGAGTTTACCAAGATGAATAATAGAAAGGTACATATATGTAATATTAGATATTTTTAGATCACGCATTTACATGAAATATGAATTCTATATTTCGAATAAAGATTATAAAACAAGTACGTGTAATTTTAGTAAATCGGCATCGCCTCAAGCCAAGGTCTGCAGTCGGCAAATAAATCTCTAAACAGGGTCGTATATATCGGCTGTAGTTTGCGAAATGGTAAAACGAGAACTGTTTCATTATAAAATTCTTAATCCAGAAATTTAAAATTAACAAGAAATACAATTTATAACTTCATACGTGATGCATAAAGTTGAAGAAAATCTATGTGACTCAGGCATGTCAGGAGAATAGAGTTTTGAAAGCTTTTCACAAAAAATTAATATTCTTAGTAAACAATAACTATTCTACAAATTCAAAAAACTTTAACATAATTAAATTTCCTGAGAGGTCTTCTGTATATTATTTTTAAAATATGTAAAAGACGATTTTTTTCAAAAGAAGGAATACTTTTTTTGAAAATTTCAAACACAAATACGGACACAAGTTAAATAGGACGAGATTGATGGGTATGCTGCTTTTACATGCAAGCTTTTATTTTTGACTAGTGCAGCTGAAAATACAAATTCAATTGTACCTAACGACACAAAATTGAGATAGAATATTGCTGAAGAAACCATAATATTTACATATATATGTTAAAGGAATACAGAAACTTTAAATACTTGAAGATGCATATTTTAAATGTTTAGCATTATTGATAAGTTTTAAAACTATATCAAAAATGATATCACTTTAGTTAAATATTTTCATGAAATGTTATGGTATATCCTTCTTGACCTAATGCATTAATGGCAGAGTTAAGATCCTCACAAACGATTAAATCTGAATCATCTTCTTTCTCTCTTTCATCATCCGGTTCTTCGCTTTTGTACAGCACCAAATTTCTTTGCTGTGGAGGTGGATCCCATTTTCCACGAAGTACTCCAATGATATTTATCGTTTTAAGGTCAGTGTCATATCCATTTACAATAACATACGCAGCACTGTCCCCAGGCTGTGAAAAGCTATCATTTGTCCCTTTTATAAAAAGAACTTCAAAAGAGCCGTTATTACTTTGATCATTGAAATGTTGGACACCTTTGACAATTCCATCCGTCCAGTGAGTCTTTGCACCCTTCTTATGAACAATTTCACCCACCAAATCATTTAAATCACATTCATAAATTTTTGCCGATACCTTATCATCGTTCGGGTTTCTAAAAATTTGATCAAAATTGCCATAAAGCTTTTTTTCGGTAATGACGAGAGAAAGATCTCTCGGAGAAAAATTTCTTTCACATTCTCCAACCAGCTGAGGTCTAGCATTTACATGAAATTTTGCATACATTTTCTCTTTGGGCTTGTATAAGTGATTACAACTAAAAACAACAAGATCATCTCTTTCCCCAACTTTCTTCCTTTTGGCAAAACCTCCAACAGTTCCTTCATGGTGTCCTCTTTGCATGGCTGAATCACTTGCAATATCTCCTTGACCACGGTATGAGAAACACACATCACCTTGCTTAACAAATGAATGAGGTTGTACATCCCATTCTCCAGTTGTGGAGATTAATTCTGTTTTCCAAGTAAATTCGCCACTCTTTCGAAATTGTTGCAATTCCTGCCAAATATTCTCTGTAACCTCTTGGCAAGTTTTTTCATGAACATATATCTGAAACTTGTCCATCGAAAAGCCGTATCTAACAATGGATTGCTTGTTCCTGAAAGTATATGGGAATGTGCTTAACTGGACTTCCTGAAAATCTAATACTGGCAAATAAAATCAAATTCGTTTAGTTAAATGACCATTCATTCTTCTGATATAAAATGTATAACGTACTTACTGATCCAAGACCATCTTCATCATCTTTGGGATCACTCGACTCGGTTTCATTTCAGATTTCCTTTTACCTGTCGCATACTTTCGTCGGTTTAATCTCTTACAAATCGCATTCTTTTGAGTCAATAGAGATCTGTTAATCGTTAAGCTCTTGCGAGTTTTTGCCATCTTTTCAATAAAGCAAAGTAACTTTTCTTCAAGGAGGGAAGTAACAGCCTCTCGCACATCCTCTCTTCTATTGGACACCTGTACTATCTGAACATTTCTATAAGAGAATTCTTCAGTCAGCACCTTGCAGTTAGGATCAGTTACCAATAAGACGACTAGCGAAATACCACTATGACGTTTCGCTAAATCAGGCAAAGTTCTTCGCAGCTGAAAGAGAAATCACTCACATAAGAATTTATTTCAAAAATTATCCCTCCATTTCCAGAGTTAAGATATTTTTACAGAATTGTTTTACCTTTTTGACATTCTCTGATGGTGTTGGCTTTCCTTTCGAAGTCATAAAACAAACGATGCATAACGGAGAATGGTCCTCAAGATATTCCACAAATGCGGATTCTTTGATGACTGTTAAAAATATAAAATGATTCTCTTAATTAAATGCTTTATTTATCTTTTTTAATAATTTTAATAGTCGCCCGCGTGGCGCAGTGATTAGAGCGTCTGCTCTAGAGTCGCTAAGTAAGGAGTTAATCCTTACATTGCGGGTTCGAATCCCACTGTGGGACGTTGAGACCAGGCCTTCGGATGAGACCGTATAAACCGAGGTCCTATGGCGCAGTAGGTGTTGGCACGAAAAAGATCCCTCCCTGATCAATGGTCTTGAGTGTCGAGTATAGGACAAAATTTGCGGCTCTCCACTGGCAAGTGGTGGCGTCTCCATATGAGTGAAAAATTCTCGTTAAACAATATACAATCAATTAATCAATAATATTAATACTGAAGAACATGGATAAAACACGTAGTATTTTAGTTACCCTCTTCTTGGTAAAAACCTTCATTTGAAAGTAAGTCGATATTGTCCTTTGAAATTATCCCGCGTGTCATAATTAATGGGTATGACCAGTACGTGTCATCACTGGTATCAATATTTCTTTCCTTTGAAGTTTTCTCTATATCTGCCACTCTTTCAAGTAGTTTTCGTATCAATGACACGTGGTATTCATATCGTGGAAAGTCTTGTGAATCATAGCAGAGGAAGACTAAAAAGAAAACAAATAATTTACATTCTACATATAGATATATGTATGACGAAACCGTATGCAAATTTTACAATCTTAGAGAAACTTTTAACTACAAAATCAATTCTAGTGCTTACTTGTATCAGCAAAATCCCAATTTTCATCGGCAAACAATTTTGCTTCAATATTTGACCAATCCTCATATTCTTTAAGTCGGAATGAGAATGTTTTGGGAAAATCACCACTCATACTCGTATCAAGATAGAACTGCAGAGTTGATTTTAATTCCAACATTTCTTTCTTGTTTTTCCATGTAAGAAAACTCTTGAAAAACCCTTTAAAATCGTCTAATTTTGAAAGAAAACGAAATGCCATAGTTTCCCTCTCAAAATTTGCATGGATTTTTTCACAGGGATAAATTGAAGAAGATATCATATACAACTGCTTAAAAAGTTTTGAGAAAAAGTCAGAATCTTTCATTAAAGGGGATTTTTCAAGTATATCTTTGTCAATTCCGGATAACCCACAGGCAATCCTCTGTATAATCGCTAGGTGATATTGTTCACCTATTACCAGTCGCCTTCCTGTTTTATCGCATTGTCCAAGTTTTGCAAAAGTCACCAAGACCGACACACTGATATTATCCAATAGCAAGCCAGGGTCATAGGACAGCAGCCATTTCAGAGCTGGCAATCGCAGATGATTCTCCACAGACAATGACATCCATTTTAAATGTTTTAAAATATCCTCCTCTGGCTGGAAAACTGAATCACTATATGAAAAGTGTCCGGGATTTCTTCGCATATTTCTTAAACAAAGGATATTATTTATTATTCTTTTTTTATCTTGACTTTCCAAACAAAGAGTATCACATTCCCCTACGACCATAGCAACACTGCAAATCCTACAAAATTCTTCAAAGTCAGTTTTGACTATCTTTTGGAGCACTTCATCAAAGTAGTGATTTGGGTTCTGAAACTTCTTTGAGTATTCCACATGCCATCTTCGAAGCATTGAGCAAGACAAAGGAAATCCAATCCTATCGTCATAATAAGGATTTTGAACTATTTCGTACAGCGTCCTCAAGTTTTCTTGGTCCTCTGAATTCCACTGTATTTGGTAATTGCGCAGATGTACATTTTCTATACCGTGACTTGAAGTAGATTTTAAAGTAACAATAACAAATCTCTGTTGTTGTTTTTCGCATGCATTTTGTATAACTTTGACCCAGTTTGGATCAGAGAGATCAGCATTATCAAGGATAACATGAGTTTTGTCATGGTTTTTGTCAAAGTTATTTTCCCATTGTGAAGGAGAAGTAATGAAAGCTAATTTTTCTGCATTTGCCAAGTAATGCATGGCCACGACTGCACAGTGCGTCTTTCCACTGCCTCGGCATCCTTCTATGGATATACATCTATGTTGGAGTAATATACTTTCAATATTCTCAATAATAGAAACTTCTTCGTGATTATAATTAGTTTTTACTAGACGAGGATCAAAGTGCTGAACTATGGATGTCCAAGATATCTGAAATGTGCATTTGAAATACTCAGACTACTCAGAGACATTTGTATACTCTAATGTATTTGTATACTATAATATTGTTATAAATATGTAGTTATTACAATATCATAGGCTAATAATTTTCACAAATTATGAACTAATTAATAATTATTCTATTTATTTTTAAAGAATTGAAAGCTTAAATTTCTGTCTGTATATGTTAAAGCTGAAAGAGTTTTTTTTTCTAAGGTTTCATCAAGATGCCCTTGTCATAGATCTACAAGAATATTCGCGTACAAAATTTACAACAATGTTAACCAAATATCCAACGGTGAAATTTTTTTAACTGCTGATTGTACAACTTGATTGATTATGATTATTCTTGAAAGTTTCATCATGATTACTCATGTCATCTCCAAGAAAATGTTTGAACAAACAGCGATATAGCCTTTTGGAATGTTATAAACGAATTTTACAAACTATGTGATTTAAAAAACAACTCAAGGGGTAAATGGAGGAAACTAAATTTCACCACACCAATAAGAATATAATTTTTTAGACGATAAAATGGCGGCCTAGTAATAATTTTCGTCCGGGTTGTTAAAGTACATTCATTACGTTATACACACAGCCATGAGCAGAAAAGAGAGAAAATACTAGGATAGATTATTCATTTGAGCATTGAAAATACAATTTAAATTTATAAAAAAGATGATTTATTAAAACTTAATTACCTTTTCCTTTGGGTCTTCCATGTTCTTGTTTATTGACATTTTGTTGGCACGTCACGTGATAACTGATAAATTAAATGTTTAAATTTAGCTCTGGGTATTTCCACAATCGCAACTTCTCGTGCCTTTCCGACTAGCGCAAAAACGACCTCCGAGGTTGTTTTTTCGACCTCTGACGGAAAGACCCGAGATGATGTAATTGGGTATATCCATTACATTTTAGCGGCAATAACAAAACTCTGAAAGCAAGCGTGTATACGTAGATCTTTTGTTGTTATTAAAAAAATCGCATATTATATTGCACATATTCCAATCTTATCTCCGATAGTAGAACTTAACGTAAATCTTGGTTACATAAAAAGTCTCCGATAATACTTGTAAATAGTACAATGTTTACAAACGATAATTATGCAGTGATTTTCTTGCAAGTTATGTACTGTGCATTACGCATTTGAATATCCCCAGGATGAAGTGACCTAATTATTTAATTATGCATGCTTTATGTATAATCGTTAGATGAAACATATATGAATATTAATTTTACATTTTTAATTAAGTGAAAGAAAGATTCAAACTTTTACTTAACTCAGTTTTATATTCTTAAATAACATGTTTCAGGGGAAAATATAATTACAAGCTCACTTATTATCATTCTCAATACTTCATACCCAGCTTCAACAGCCAATTTTGAATTTAATCTTTTATATTTACATTTCCAATGTCTTTTTCCGAGATAAAATTACAAACTGTAAATGCACTTTATTTTCCCATCAATGTATTGGCGCGGTTCCAAAAAAAAAAAACAACAAAAAACCACGTGCAGGGCGGAACAAACAGATAGACAGAAGCAGGGTTTGGAGCACGTGGATTGGCGGAATCAAAGCATGTAAATATAAGGAATAACTGTCAGATTTTTCAATTTCATGAAGATGATCAATCGATTGGCTTGCGTGATAATTTTATACATAAACGCCTTCGGCGTTTATGCAAATTATCACGCAAGCCAACGATTGATCACATCATGAAATCGAAAAAAAAGACAGTTATTCCTTAATTAAACCTATAAACATTTTTAAAATAAAAGATGGAAAGACTTCATTTTTTTCAAATCAGAGGCATATATTACATGCATTACAAAGCTGAATACAAAATTATAGTTTTATTTCATTATAGCATAATTATTCATTTATGCATGTTAAATTTTCAATGATTGGATTATACTTTTATAATCTTTAAACTTATTTTCAAAATTTTAATAACGATTTAAACTTTCCATTTAACTTAGTTTTATATTAATTTTATATTACATTCAAGAAAATTTCTTTTATATAAGAAATTTCTACAGCTAACTTAATGCTTAATTCGAAAGGATGCTACATTTACTTTCTGTAAAACGTAAGCAAATAAAAATCAACTTTGTTTGATTAAACATTTATAATATTTTTTAATCAAATATATATATGAAAGAACATTTTTTAAAAGAGGGATATATGCATTACAATATAAGATATCAAGCCTCGGTTTTATTTCTTCTTCATCGTAATCCTCATGCTTTAACGGGGCATGAACTAAGTTTCAGCAAAAATTTCAAAATTTATTTTTCCATTTTTACAAATATTTAAAAATAGCTTTTTACACTTTTTGCCATAACTTTTGAACCATCAGAGATAAGGACTTCATATTTGGTATGCATACTCCACCGATTAAGTTCTTTCAAATGACACCATGGTCAATGACTTTGTGACCTTGACTGTGACCTATATTCTAAAAATAGCTTTTTCCACTGTTTGTCATAACTTTTGAACCATAGGAGATAGGGACTTCATATTAGATATGCATACTTCACCGATAAAGTCCTTTCAAACGACGGCAAGGTCAATGATCTTGTGACCTTGACTGTGACGGATATGCTAAAAATAGCTCTTTACACTTTTTGCCACAACTTTTGAACCATAGGAGATAGGGACTTCATATTTAGTACGCATACTCCACTGATTAAGTTCTTTCGAATGACACCATGGTCAATGACCTTGTGACCTTGACTGTGATCAATATGCTAAAAGAAGATTTTTTTAACTTTGTTGCCGCCGGGCGCGTAGTGTTTCACAAACAAATCTTGTTCCAACATAAATCTTCTTCTCAAGAACAGCAAAGACATTTATTGTCCCCATTTTTGCTAAAGGTAGGGTACATTAAATCTCATTTGTTTGTCAATCTGCCCATCTGTCACAATAAATTTAACCTTGGTCATCATGGTCGTATATTTTGAATGAGAAGAGATAGGACTTTTATATTAAACATGTGTATTAGTATTAAATGGGACAATACCTTTCTACTAAACTTTTCTTGGCAAACGACAGGCCTATATTTGTTTTTCGAAGCTTCAAAAATGTACGTAAAATATATATTTTTTTCTAAAAATACCATTTGATGAGAAATAAGTCAGTATATATCAGGGAATGCATAATTATTAATTATTTGAAATAGTAGTTATTAAAATTTAATTTTTTAATTTAGTAAAATTGAATGAAAAACCCACACATTTATTTATTTGAATTTTAATAAGTGTTGTCTCTAAAATTTAAGAGGGTATTTTAGAGTTGATATGAACTTTTTCTTTCATTTCATTCCATATGCATTGGAATTATCAATCAATAAATTATGCACATGAGTTAATAAACCAAAATTATATATGAAATACATTACAAGACATTGTTCCGTGAAATAACACTTTTACTAATGGTGCTCGATATTAAAAACTAACAAAACAACAATGCTGTAGTGACCAATGTTTGACTATAGTTGCAAAGTTGCAATTAAAGTCAAAGTAATTTTAAGCTCCTCTCCTGAATATAGTGACATCTCTTAATGAGTGAAACAGTCTTGAAGGAGACACAGAATATTCTAAAATGTAAAGTGTCTTTTTCTTGCCCCAATTAGATATTTCTCATACATAGATATCTTTTTCACAGACAAACATAGACGAATACAAACACTTCATATCATTCCATTTCCCATTTAGTGAAAATATTTCCATGCAATCTTCGTTTCCTTTATCATCGTTAGGTTCCCCCTTGTTCCAGTTTGTGAATCGTAATGGTAACCCTGAGTGATTCCAAATCCAGGTGTTCTCTTGTGTTTTGTCCGTACCACCCAACCAAGCACGGCCTAAATTTTTGAATTTGAATATTATTATATCAATGGTGTTGCAAGAAAATAATATAATTAAAAAAAACAATTAAGTATTTTCTTGAATTGAAAGATGTGATCAGAATGTAGTGAGTTCGAATTTTGACCGAGACTGACCAAAGTCTGTAAAAATGGTCATGAACTGTTCCTTCTACATGCGCTCTGAACCTAATAGTGAAAGTTGGGAAGCATTAAAACCGAGGTCCGTGTCACGGTAGACGTTGACACGATCAAGAACACATACTGGTCCCCTCCCTGGGTGCCGAGTAAAGTTCAAAATTTGTAGCCCTACACCGGTTTATGGTGGTGTCTCAACATGAGTCGGACGTAAAACAACACACAATAAAAGATACATATCCTTCATGAAACATATACTTTCTCACTGTATCATAGGTACACTTCTTTGCAAAAAACATTGGATACTAGTATCAGTCCAATAAGCATTCAATTGTTAAAGAGTGTGTTTGCTTGTATTCAGACATTGTTACAGAAAAAGTACTTCATCATTACAAACATATACTGAACACCCTACTATACATATGCAGTATATAACATGTACTGAACAGAAAAAAATGAATTTTCACAATCAACATTACATGTACAAATCTAAATAATGTTTAAAGTATCAACGTAGATATTGTAAAACAACACCTTTAGATAGAAGCCGAAATGTGCTTTTTTTCAACACATCTTGTTAAAAATACAATTCATTTACAATATTCAGGAAAACCTTAGTATCTATTACCTAATTGTTTTAATGAACAAACACTCACCACTGGGTTCTTTATTTTTTAAAATGTTGGCTACAAAGACGTTCTCGGGCATTGTATCTATTTCAACCAACCTGGCTGACAATCCACGACATTTAACCTGTAATGATTGTACATGTAAATAATGTACGTCTTGTTTGGTATTGCACATTAGCTTACTCGGTAATGCCTACAAAAGGAATTCCGTCATGTAGAGGACTAAATGAAGTATATGGAGATCAGGAATACTATTCAATATCAAAGTCCATAAAACAATACAAAATAGGAGCAGAGCAAACACGGACCTCTAAAACATCAGAGATTGGATCAGGTGCCAAGGAGGAGTGAGCATCCGCTGCTGACCGGTCCCACCCGCCGTGTGCCCCTTGTCATGATCGGAAAATAACGGAAAAATCCGTCGTCAATTCAATGTATAAATAATGGAATAACAATTCTAATCTAAACCCAATTTTAAATAAAGTAATTGTAAGGGTGTGGGTATTGTAAGACCTTGGGTGAAATCTCTAAATATGTGTAATTAGAAATGAATATTTACATAATAATATGTTCAAACCAAAAATGGTAATAGAAAGTCACTAAATGTTTAAGACAGCTTTTATCATAGATTCCTTACATTTGCCTGTTCCCATGATAACTTCTGTGTGTTTAGCATGTAGCACGAAGTCCCATGCTTTTCCCATCTTATCTGTATTTGAAGAGTTTGGAATCTCTGTGTGTTTTTCTTTTTTCTAAAAGTAGAAGAAGCTTTGAAAACTCGGTAACCAGTTAAGTTTATCACATGAAAACAATACAATCTTGAAACAAACCATCACATAAAGGAATTTTATGGGAGTCTAAATGCATTTTTAATTCTTTCCATCCGGTGCACATTTATTTCACCAAAATGTTAACACAAAATATGAAAGCAAATATTTGAACCATGGTATTTTAATAACCAAAAAATATTCAACAAAAAATGCGTTTTACAAACACCTTACTTGGTGTATTGAATTTGAAATAGAAAGAAAGCGAATTATAAAAGCCATAAAAGCATTAAAAGTAGTTTAAATTGTTTTAATACTCTGTAATTTGAATTATAAACCTTTTAAGTTGCTTATCTGTATTTGAAGATTTTGGAATCTCTGTGTGTTTTCTTTTTTTACTAAAAGTAGAAGAAGCTATTTGAAAATCTAATTATTCCGAAACCAGTTAAGTTTACCACATGAAAACTAATATTAAAAAAATTATAAGTAAATTATTGATCGGCCTTTGAATCAAAAATAAGGTTTTTCTTCTGTCTAGACTAAATATTTATTTTAATTTTCTGAAATATAGAAAACTTATCCTAAACCATGGTTATAAGTAATAGCTTTTCAAAAACTTGCCTGACTTAACATTCACTATGTTTTAAGTGTAATTTTTAGGTGTGTTGACCTTTGAAATCAAAATTGTTATTAAAGTTTTCATAATGTAATAAATTTTTAAGCAATGATTTTCGCAAAGTTCCATTGTTTATTGGAAAACAATTCAGAATTCACAGCTTTGGTGACTAGGCCCGTTTTAACAAAGAAACTTATTGAAAGTCCCATGCTTGTCCGAAGATCCTTTCGGACAATCTTGAAACAAACCATCACATAAACAAATTTGCTTAGTTTTTAATAACCAAAATATTCAGCAAAAAATGTTATTGAAATAGAAAGAAAGATCTGGGGGGGGGGGGGGCCCCCCCCCCCCCTCTGTGAATCCCTTAAGAATTTAAATTGTTTTAATACTCTGTAAATGAATTGAAGATATTTTGATTCTTTTCATATTTTATTTTTTACAATGATTCAAAATTTTGAAAATTTAGTCTTCTTTTTGGAATTTAACAATACATAAACTTCACAAACTTTGAAATAAAAATTCTAAGCTAACAATTTCGAACAAAATCTTTACTTTCACAAAATTTTACAATAAACTTAAATTTTTGGTCTTAATCGTAAACATCTTTTTAAGAATACATTAATCATTTTTATATTTAATATTTCAAAATACAAAGGTGTCATTGAATTAATTATTTTTATATTTTTTTTTAAATACAAAGGTGTCATGGTTATTTCAAAAACCTTTTTGCTCCAACTCTTGTAGTTGGGAGTCTAAATACATTTTTAATGACAGCAGGGAATCTTCCAATCCACCCGGTACACATTTATCATCGCCGTTTCTTGTGTCCAGACTTTGGGAGAAACTTACTTGTAGTTGTGACAAAAGGAAAATGACAGCAAATATTTGAGCCATAATCTGAAATGATATGAAAATAACAATATTACCTGCCTTGAGAGGTTGCAACAAGTATAAAATGTGTTTATTTATGTATATAACTGATAAATATTTAAGCGGCACTTGATTGGCGAAAATCCAATGACTAAATGAAACAATAATTCAATATATCGACAAATAAATTAGATTTAAACGTATATGTAAGTTTTCTCCATACAATTATGCTTAACTGCCTAGTTGGTGTATTGAATTATAATATTTTACAATTTGATTTATCCTTCACTTACCATTTATAATTAAAGTCGTTCTGACATTCACATTTTCCTGTTTCTTGTTTACTTTTTGAACGTTTTAAAGTTCACAGATTGATGATGCACTATATGTAAGAAAAAAAAAAACGGAAACATAATAATACAATGTAAATTATGGCACTTAACAAAGGAAGAATAATAATATAGGAGTCAGGATGTAGACTATTATCTCCTCGATGTTGTCTGACTAATTAGAGTGTGTATGGGCATAAGATTGGAAAGTCCATCACATTCATCAAACAAAATACACGAAACACTTACACTGTACATGTATGCCATGTTCACACGGAGAGTTTAATTTGCAGTAAATTAATTGGAATTAAACTAATTCGCATTAAATTCTCCGCGTGAACGCTGATCAGATTTAATTTGCAATAATTTACGTTAAATTTGAATTAAACTCTCCATGTGAACAGGGCATTAAAGTTAATATGTCTGATTTTTTTTTAATCGATCCTCTTTATTTGTTTGTTGAATATATGATTTGAAAAAAAGTAAACATGGTATGATGTACATCACTCAACTGATATATGTACACATGACGAAGAAGGGATTGAATACCCCCTTCCCCTTTTCTATTTTAAAGCATGAAATTCTTTCAGAAATATGTTTTTCACAGTACATGTTTTCAAATGAAAAAAAACTATAGAAAGTTTACTGCAATTTTTATTTATAAAACTGGTTCTACCCCTATAACCTTTGAATTGGTCATCCTACGCGTGTCTTAAATTTAAATGACAATACATAAGTAGGGGTGTCTTTGAACTTCCTGGTGTCCGTGTTTTATAATTATGCCCCGGTCATAGACTTGCGTTGTTTTTAGATCTTATTTTAAATCCATCACTGTTCGATATTTACATCTCAATGTAATTTTCTTTAATAAATGAAATCCATAGGAAATCTACAATATTCAATACTTAATAACGCAAACGAAACCTCTTGTCACTGCGCGATAGAATCCTTAGCAAAAACTATATGCGTTTTTGATACTCTAGAAAAATGTATTTTTTCTGAACTCAATGAAACATATGGAGACAACGAAAAGTATTAAGACCAAAAGTTTATAAAACAATACAAAAAAGGAGCAGAGCAAACACGGACCTACAAATTATCAGAGATGGGATCATGTGCCATGGAGGAGTGAGCATCCCCTGCTGACCGGTCACACCCGACAGAGCTATCTGTCTTGATCGGGAAATAACGGAAAAGTCTGTCGTGAATTCAGTGTTTAAATAATGGACTTATAATTAGTATGAAAAACGTCAGCCAGCATACCAAAACTCCCTATGCACCTTACGCGCTTCTTAAAAAGTTCCACCCCCTCGAATTTTAATTATAGTCTTATTTAGATTATCGTAAATGTACAATAATTGAATATTATAAATAGCACTGTGTTCAATTCCTTATTTAGATATTTTATTATCTTTTTTTTTTGCACTAATCGATATGTCCACGATAGTACAATACAGGTACATTTATATAATATATACACATGTAACAAGTAACCAATCAGCGATATTGTCAGAGATTTAAAAGGATACAACAAGCTTATCATTTCATTCGGTAAGAGATAAAGGCTGCTATTCATACTTGGAAATTGAACAATATTTCAAGCAAATTCATAAACCAGCGCGGTTATTATTCTCCTTCAAACGGGACAATATGAGCAATCTTCAGATAACAAACGTCTTGGTTTTCTTCCTTGCAACCACTCATTCTATCATTGTCTCGCGGCGCTATTCCACAGAAGTGGAATTTGATAATGAAGAGCCAAAGAACGAAATTTTAGGTGAATACAAAGCTAGATCGTTATGTATGTGTTCTGCGAAGTGTCGGAAGGACTGCCGCTTCTTTGGATACAATAATAACCTGAAACTTTGCCGTGTCTACAGGAAGGTTTACACCACTCAAAAGTCTAACATGGAGAATGGATGGAGATACTTTTTCAATAATTGTATGTATTCGTGTAATGTTATTTTTTCCCCACAAATCACGGAGAATACTTATTGATGTACATTGAAATTTTCTCTCCTTTTTCCCATTTTTAGTACAATATAGGTGGATGATAACTTATTGATAACGATCAATAATCAATCTGATATATACTGAAAACAACACAGATTGAGAACAGAGTAAACATGCGTATTTCAGGAAGCATTAAAAAATTTAATCATGTGCGTAGAATAAGATACAATTCCTTTAACACTAGTCACACTCATGTTGAGTCCTCTGTATATTAATTATTTCAAGAGAATAATTCCTAATGACAATGAGTGTTTTTATAATAATTGGTAATGTATGTGCAAGTCGAAGGATTTGACCAAATGGTAGGCTTTTGTTTGTGGACAAGGCATTAAAAAGGTTCACAAAAAGTTATCGTGAAAGTTATTGATTGTTTGTAAGTCTTTCATTTGAGAATTTTTAGCTTATAGTTAGAGGCTTCTGCTTCGCTGTGGTGAACTGCAAATTCACACCTATACGTGTTAGTTGTTACTTATGCAAAGGCCATTCAGCACCTACTGCGGCACGGCACCTAGGCTTACACCTCTTTTCTGAAAAACCGGGCTCCATGTCCCGCATTGGAATTCGAACCCGTAATAAACTCATTACTCTGCAACTCTCTAGTATAAACATTCAAACTAATGCGCCATTTGGGTTACTGAAGTAGATTTTAGAAAGCTCAATTGTCTGCAGCCTGCCTTCATTTCTAATTATTCTTATTCAATCTATATAAATGTAGCTATGCGCTCGTATTACGAATCTCTTTTGGGTATGATCACTATATGCAGTGCTATTTGAATACTATCATTGAGATAGAAGACGTTTACAGTCGAAAATCTGAACGCAACCCATGTGACATATATAGTTAAGTTGTTAGTAATTACCATAAAGGTCTATTCAACATTTTAATATAAAGGAGAAATTGTATACTTTATGTTGTAATTTTAAATGTAAATTTTATTTGAAAAAAAAAACTTTAATTCATTTAAAATTAAAAAGTCGCATTTTAAATAAGAGTTTCTTCTAAATGAATTTTTCATGGTTTTATGGATTAACCAGTATTTTTGCATGATTCTATTCCGGAATAATTTCCTTTATTCCTACGTAATTTATATGATTTCAAGTGAAACAGCTATAAATTTCATTATATTTTTTGGCTTCCAGTTTTATTCTTTATCTCTGATACGTTGATCAACATTAAGTTTCATAAAATGACTATTAATTCATTAATACTTAAGAAAAAAAATGTATTTTAAAATGTTTTAACGGCAAACTGGAGAGAATTAATGAATCACTTAAAGCGGGATATAAAGCTGATATTTTAAAGAATTTGGTTGTTATTTTGTTGAAAGCTGGTTTCAGGATTGAAATCAAGAGTCCTTAATGTCGAAAGGAATTTTCATTTAAGTCGTGGTCACACTAGCCTAATTATAGGTAATCTTTGTTATTTTAAAAAAATCTTTTCTCTAAACCCGTAATTCATTTATTTTCTCTGGACAATTCTAGATCGACCGCGATTCTAAATTTACAAACATGTCGTAAAAAACTTTCAATTCTATCGTTTTTTCCAAATATTTTACAACAAAATAAATTATAAAAAAAAATAATATATCTTCACACATCCATACACAACACACCTTGTGAAATTACTTGATTGCTTTTAATTATTTTTTTTATTAGATCTTATCGAAAACTATTTTCAAATTAATCAAATTTTCAAATAAATCAAATTTATTTTCGCCAGAAAGCATTAAGGATTATATATATGTAGACTGGAGCCAATTCCTTTGATGAAGATTCTGAATTATTTATCAGAACATATACTTGTAGCATTGAATTATATTTTCATTATCTGTGCATATCAGCTGTATCAGCAACCCCTTCAGTGGTTTTGATTATTATTTTGTAAGGAACAGTGGAAAACTTATTATTTGGCTACTTTTTTATTATTATTTTTAAGGAATAGAGAAAATCTTATTAATTAGCTACTTTTTCCTCGATAATTTGTGTTTGGAACAGTTGAAAAACAAGTCAGGAATGGTTGTACATATAAACTACTGTCATATTTTACCCATTTTACCTGAAGACAGTTATGAATGAAACATCGCGTATGGCGATAACGAACAGTATTCAAGATCAAAATTCCATAAAATTTTACAAAATAGGAGCAGAACAAACACTGACCTCTAAAACCTGTATCGACGATAGAAATTACGAAATGATGACTCTAATCGAGACAATATAATATTTAACTGTGCTAGCCAATATATATTTTAAAAAATGTACAATATGATTCATTGTATAATTAATTGTTATTTTTGATTTAGTTCTCCCGTTAGATTGTTCGGACTTGAGAGAAGACGGTCACACTACTTCCGGAGTGTATGATATTTATCCCTATAGCACCGGCGCGCATCCAATCAGAGCTTACTGTGACATGGAGACAATGAATGGTGGATGGACGGTATATATAACATACATGGTTAATGCCTTCAATATACATGTAAGCGATATTTGGGCAAGGGTAAGAAAACATGGTTGTGTTTTCGACCTAAACCCAAATATCGCGTATCGCTTATATATCAATGCTTTTTAAAATATACAATAATGGACTTCAGTGTAGGTCGATATGTGGTTATAACGACTCATAGCAATTGATATTGACCGAAGACACAGAAAGTGATAGCGACCGAGCCTGCGAGGTCGCTATCATTTTCTGTGTCTGAGGTCAATATCAATATTGCCATGAGTCCTTATAACCACATGTTGACCGTTTACTAAAGTCCATAAAAGTTATATTATATATAATCACTCAAAGTGAATGCACGGACACAGTCCTAGCTAAACAGACTCGGCTGTCATTTAAAATAATGATTAAAAGACGCTTCTTATAATAACGTCACGTTCTGAATAACTTTGGTGCAACCGAATGGTGTGTCGTGCGATCTCATTTTCCGCGGACGCGCTTTTGCGTCGAAATCACAAAAGGAGGAATATCATGTGACGTTCTTTCAGCCAATGAAAATTACGAAAATAATCTTCTTATATAATATTTATATTTTGTGTTTATGCGTGTGCGTTTTTGTTTTTCCTGAAAAAGATA